CATAGACAAAATATTCACAAAATAATCTAATCTTGTTCTAAGGGACGGGGCCCCTGATCAAGGATTTGCTTTCTTATCAGTATAGCTTAGCAATTTTTTCCAGAGTGAGTTATCTAAATAATATAGTATAAAACAATATTGTATACCCCTGGCAAAATTATGTTAATTATATCGGAATACAAGTTGGCGAAATCCACTGGTTGATCGTTAGCCATTGAAGGCAGAATGCTCCACAAATATCCTGGCTTCAAAGCCGGCGTTGGCCTGACAGGAAAATTCCGGATATTATTATGATATTCTAAATTTCAAAAGTGTCTGCCCGTTTTCCAAGAAACTTTCATCCAGCAATTCTAGCCTGTTCTTCGACATTTTTCCTTTCTTTGGAAAAAAAATAAAATAATTAAATGAGATAAACAAATAATTCTATATATATATATATAATATAATCTATTATTCCTCAAAAAACGTCAATCAAATTTAGCCAATAGTGTTCTTTTAAAATATATTTGTCCAATAAAAAATGATTATAACGTCGGTCCAATAATAATCACTTTTACAAAGTAAACCTTCATTCAAGTTTAGCTACCACTTCTATTTTTAAATCATATGGGAAATATTATTATGATAGGCAAATATATATACCCAGATTTCAGAATAAAACTTGATGGAAGATTTATAGACTCGACTGATTCCCCGTCATTCTTGAGTGACGGGCTATCAGCTAGTATAATATAATAATGAAATATTTTCCTGAAAATATTACAAACGCCTAGTGAGTCCCGTAAATATTGATTGACTTTGTAAATTAAAAAATTTAGAAAAAACTTTGTTTAATTTGTTATTGTTTAAAATGACATCAAATTTAAAATACATAAAACAAACTTCTATCTTGAGGGTTTTAAAAAAACGTATGTAATGGTGAATGTCAACAAGGTTTTCTCCGCATATCGCGATTTACGCCAAACACTGACGGGTTCTTTTCGGTTTGGGCTTTGCAAGCAGTTTTCAGTTCGGGTTTTGATGGAGAGATAAAAATTATTAAATATAAATAGATTCAATCAACTTTAGATTTTCTTTAGAATAATTTATCTTCCAAGTTAGAGGATTGAGCGATAAGGAATACAATATAAGCTGAAGCGATAGGAACAAGTGGTGCCTTGCTCAAATATTTTTGGCAATTTACAGGTGTTACCAGAGGGAGAGAGAGCACAAAGGATTGGATACTTATATAAAAGACTATAATTAAATTACGAGAGGAATATGGAAATAATGGAATTACCATCGACCAATCAAATCGAAAATGTGGTAAATTCCAGCTCACTCCTTTTACAACGGGAGATAAGAAGAAAAAAAATACCCGGGTCGGGCCCTAAAAATTTTTTTTTTAAATCCGGGGCTAACTTGCAAATGATACCTCGGCAGATCTCCGTTTAAGACCGCGTTCATAGTGGTATCCGATCCGATAACGATTTAACAGCTGATCGATCTTTAGAAATCTGTTTACGAGACCAATTTTTATTTATCAATAATAATACCTTTTATCTTCAACACAATAATAAATAAATAATAATAATATAAGAAATAATGATTATTATAATAAAAAATTGATCTCACGAAAAACAGATTTTAAAAATCTATCAGCTGTTAAATCGTGTCGGATCGCGTCCCACTAGGAATGCGGCCTAATGCGCAACCCGATAATTATTTTGCACAAATTTCACGGTCCGTTAAATTACCCACCCCAATTAATTTTCCGGTTATGACCGTTATAATTTCTTTTTTTTTAAAACTTTTTTCTTCCGGCACAGGCCCCCCCCCCAAAAGACGGCTAACTTAATAATTTAGAAACAGAAAAATTTTGCCCAAGTTCTTAAAATTTCGCTGGATAATATATGTCAAAAACCTTGTGAGCAAACAGGTTCGCGTAATATTTTTTCTGAGTAAAATATTAAGTTGGCCGTTTATTTAAAATCAGCTCGAATCGGACCCGACAAAGCTACCCGCCAGCCAGCCGAGTTTTAGCGCAGACCGGGCCGGTTTTGCAGATTCTCTAATCATCCAAATGATAATAAAGAATGTGCCTTTTTAATAAATATATTATTAATTTACCTTGTATCCTTTTTTAAAATAATTTATAATAATAATAATTTTAAAAAAAAAAAGGAAATTTTTTTCAAAAAGATATTACACGGTCAAAACTCGTAAATTTATTATGTTTTGATATATATATTAAGAAACAAATACAATTTTACCTTGTACATAATAAATAATATTTCAATTCTAAGTTTCAGCCAGATAGCTCCGTGAAGTTGGCCTAACATTTGGATGCAATAACGATGAATCATATCGTTTTTTAGTGCTTCGTTAGTGCTTAAATCCGTATAGTAGCCGAATTTAAGGGGAAAAGAAGTTATAAGCAAAAATAAAAATTTGTACCAACTTCAAATGTTTTATTTTTTTCTCTCTCCTTTTACCATTTTAATAAAAGGTTTAAATTTAGTTTTTTTAAAAAAAATGTTAAATAAAAAAAATTTTTTTTGCCATAAATCCAAAAAAATGTAACTTCGGTGGTGATAAAGGAAAAAAAATGATTAAAATTTTCGGTAACAATTTGTCACTCCAATATAAAGAAAAAAAATTTTTGGAAGGCCCTTTAAAATCGTCAATATATCGTGACCCACTGTTCGACTTGCTAACACATCGGTATTTTCTCCAGAGTCCAAATCGTGACCTTTCATCTTAGTCACATATTTATCTCTTTCTTCTCTATATATCACTATAAAAAAAAATACTTATAATTACACCTTTTTAATTTTGATTTGAATATTATAGAGTAGATAGATACATATAGAAGAAGCCGCTTTAATTGCTATAAACGATACATTAAATTTTAATATATTAGGCTTAAAAACGGTTTTGGTACAGCTACATATTGTATCGCTATTTTAGACAATGTTTTATGGAATGGATTAATATATAAGAAAAATTTTTAACCAAATCAGTAATGATACTTGAAGAAGAGAATATAAACGACTCAATCACAAATCGTAAAATTTTTGATATATATTTATATATATACTCTATTAATTGGATTGAAGTTCATTTACTTACGATATAAATAAGTTATAAAATTTGTTAGATGTTATTCAAATGATATGAAAGAATATACTTTAAATCTCGTAGTAAAATAGTTTATCAAATCCTTCAGTACAATTATATCGTGGAATAAATGTTAACTAAATTTTTTTTTAAATTTCAATAATAATAAATCCGCGAGGTGGCGTAAGTTCTTTTTTTAAAAAAATATTAATGCTCCATCCAGTTTGCGGTTATTAATATTATCGAAATTATAATTATTTTTTTTATTGAAGGATTTTTAACTATTCATTATGAGATAAAAAAGGGAAATACGACTATTATACGAACAGATGATCCTATAACTTCAGTTTTCTAGGCAACCTGTAGGATGCCAAAGTAATATTCTTTTATAGTTTATCTAGGCATTTAGTCAAACCCTAATATAATTGAATATAATCGAAGATTTGTCAACTATATCTACTCACCTTTTATAACAAAGAAATTTCTTGTACTCAGTTTGGACCTTGGAAATATTTTTAGGAAGCGATAATTAAATTTAAAAATTGGATCAATTGATTTTGAACACAGCTAAATTCCAGTATTAAATTTGTTTATTTTCGATTTAATATAGATGATTTTATTTATTAATTAAGTTTATAAAAAAAATAATTTTAATAATAAAAAATCTATCAAGCTTCAACCTGACATTCATTATGATTGATATTTTCCATTGTTTTTTAACACAGAATTTAGTGCAAGTTGGCTGACGTTGTGAAAATATAATTTATATGTTATTAATCTAATCTAATAATTAAAATAGCAATTATTTAATAATTTAGAAAGTCATATTAATTTTTAAATAATAAAATCAAATCTATATATAATACTTGATAGAATTTATAAAAGAAATCGTTCAATAGGCTATCTAAAAAAAATTTATTTTTAATTTTTCAGGAGGAAATTAGGGAGTTACTAAAAAAAAATTTTTTTTGCTTCAGGGTAACTATTCTAATTTTTTAGGGGTTTTGACCTGCACACCCCCCTCCCCAAGGGACGCTACTGGTCTAGTAGCAAGTCTCTCCTTGCCAATCTCAAAATCATATAATTTAGCTTTCACCCTCAACAATCATATAAATCTCTTGAAATAATCAACATTATCTCTTAGTTTTCTTTCTAAGTGCCAATATAATCATATTCACGATTCTCTCAGCTTCAGCCAATTCCATACGATTTTTTTAAAAAATGAGGCGTAAAAATGTGGTGTAATTAAATATTTTAAATGCATTCCAATGCAGAAACATAATCGGCTGTCATTTTTGAGAGCTAATAATGTATCTGCTTCAGATGAAGTATCTCATTCAGGATATCGAAAGCTACTTTTTGCAATATCATTCTTCTTGTAGTACAAGAAGCCTCAGAAATAATTCTGCTCAGCTAATTCGGTCTATCTCTTTGGATATCTGAACATTTTACACACTTTAGATATGTTGCCTAATCATAATCATATCATAGTTATTATCATTGAAAATTTATTTGGTTGATAAAATTATCTTGCATCATGTAAGAAAATATATACTTTAAAGTTTTCGTGGAAGGGAATGAAATATTAATATTAATTTTTTATCTTCTTTTTTTAGCTAAATTTAAAATAGAATATTGATTCAAAATTCGTGAAAAACCTTTTATATTTCGAAAAATTGCTATCTGCACTCCGGAAGCCGCTTAACTAAATTAATACATAAAATATTATTTAAAAAAATATGTTAATTCTATTGTTTTTTATTGTTTTTTAAAAAAAAACACAATTACATATTATATATAAATAATTTTAAAAATTATTCTAAAAAATATCTATTAAATACACAATAATGAATAGTATAAGAGGTAAAATGACATTTTTCAAATTCCTAAAAATGTAGTTTAAAATTGAGGATTTTTTAAATTTTTTTTAGATAATTTCACTATTTTGGATGATTAGTTCATTCTTCGGTCCAAGGTGTAATTGGGGACAAAATTTTGAATATTCGTTCCTAATTATAAAAATATATGTCTATATATATAAAAGGGAATATATAATTAAATAATGTTATTTGTATACGCTTAAATATAACATAAGTTCCTCTAATACATTCTTTTGAGAATATAGCTTCAACTTTGGAGAAGGCATTTAACTCACAATCTCAATGCTTTATTATGGACTTTCTTTGGCACACGCGATAAAAAGAAAGAAAGAAAGAAAGAAAGAAAGAAAGAAAGAAAGAAATGAAAATGTATTATTTAATTATGAGTATGACGTTATTTTTGTGATTTTCTAACAATAAAAAAAAAGATTAATATTTTTTAAATAATTATATTCTTTTAAAGTATAGGCTTATATACAAAAAAACGAGAGTGTGTGTATCAGGACTACTAGTTCTATTTCTAATTCTAATTCTTAATTGGTTCTGGTTCCGTCATTCAACTTAAAAGATCCAATCGTTTTGCTAGCTAGGCGATTAAAAGGATGTAGTCAGATCAATCCCGAAATTTGATAGGTTCAAATTTAACAAATTATGTTTCAAATTCTTAGAAATTTGCGCATGACGATAAAGAGTCAATAAACAACTAACTTTAAGCTTGATGGAAAACGATTTTCAATATTTGATTGATACCCGCGCTTTTTTCTCTCCGAGCAGTTACCGCTTCCCGCCTTTTCGCGCCGAATTTTTGGGTAATAATATTCTATTGATGAAGATTCCGATTGAGAATCCAACATTGAGTCGAGATCGAACGATGCAAACTTGTCAGCTTCTATAGGATTTTTAAAAAAATTTTATTTAGCCTAATTACAAGGTAAAAAAAAAATTTATAGAGAAGAGAAGTTGCAGAATCGCATTTGTCAATTTCGATTAGGCGACCCATTAGAAAATCCAAACTCGCCGAAAATAGAAAATATGTCTTAACTAAATTAGAAAAAGAGGACTTGTGCCGAAATAGAAGATTTAGGCATGCTAAATTAAAAGGCAGAGTCAGGCACACTTTCGCGCACCCTCAGTGAGGCCAGCTGATAGTAAGCAGGCACTTCTATTACTTGGAATCGGAGGGATGGCATGATTGTTTTACCATTATTTAAATCGTAAGATGTAGAAAGTCATAATGTCTTCAATAGAATAAAAGGAGTTTAAGGGTAAGGTAGAATAGGGTAGGTTAAGGGAATTTCGATTTTCTATTGTTTTTAATTTTGACTTCCTTTCTTTTTTGTTATTTTTCATTTAGTTATCCTCATTTTTTTTTTGTTTTTTGTTATTATTCAGATTTCTTTCTAATTTTCGTTTTTTAATTCACATTTTTTTCTTCTCTTTAAGTAGCAGGGGGTAATATTGTAACTGGCTTAGGAGGGGGGGTAGTAGTGCCGTATGTTATAGTGATTATGGAAGATTGGAAATATATTATTTTATTGTCATTGGCTTAAGGGGGTGTAAAAGTGATTATAGAAGGTTGACAAGATATTATCTTATTGTCATTGGCATAAGTGATTGTAGAAGTGATTACAGAAGGTTGAGAAAAGATATTATTAAATTGTCATTAGCTTAAGGGGGGTGGGGGTGTAGTGGTGTCTTACGTAATAGTGATTATCGACGGATGAAAAGATATTATTATAAACTCATTTTTAAACTATAATAACAATAAAAATGTCAAAAATACGAAAATAAATAATTATTATAACTAATACTATCGAAAGTTTCCATGTAACGTAATCTGGTTAGTTTGTCGCTGTCCCTGTTCAAACTGTCTTTTAAAGTTTGACTCAGCATGAGAGCTTCCTTTGAGTAAATATTTTTTTTGTAAAAGGTATATTTATTATATCATCATTACATTTGGTTTATAATAATTTAATATATCTTGTTTGACAAAAATAAGAATTTTTAAAGGTGACAAATATTTAAATTTAATGAAAGTTTATATGTTATAGGAAAAAATCGTTGCCGTATTGACTTTGTATTCACCTATAAACTAAATGAAAAAATTTCCACTTATTCCATAAGTTTTAGTAACCAGATAAAATTTGGATTGCGATATAGAAGTTTTAATTTACTGAATACCTATATGCTAGAAACATGGCCATTCCAGCCCCAGAGTTTGGAAATGATAATATCATCTTGAAGATATTTTTTTAAGCATATAAAATTACAAAATATTTATTTACTTATAAAAGTTTACAGATTTTGAAATTTTTTAAGGTAAAATTTCATCCCAGCATGTGCAAGAATATTTACCCATTACAAAATTTTAGGCTTTCAAATAATTATAAATATTTATTTATTGAATTTTTATAAAAAAAATTCTGAATTTAAAAAAGAAATCATAAGCTGATTGGTTAAAATAACGTTTCAGATTTATAACGTATATATGTATCTGTTTTAGATTCTGCGCATGCTGGAATAAATTTTTTTTTTAGTAAGATTAGAGTTTCCAATTACCGGAAATAACATATTGACTCGTTATCTTATTTGTTAAACGACTCTATTTGAGCCGATTTTTAAAAAAACGGCTAACTCAATATTTTAGCCAGAAAAAATATTCACTCAAGTCCTGAAGATTCAGGTCATAGATGGCACGGCACAAAGGTTTGATTTGGACATCTATTAGCGATATCTCGAGACTTATGCCTATTTTTCTGGCTAAAAATACTGAGTTAGCTTTTTACAAAATGGGCTTATATCCGAGCCGTTTAACACTAACACTGACGTAACCAGTGTTATAATGTATTAATTTTCTAAATAAAATATAATAAAAATTGATATTATATGTCCTAGTATGTGTTATATTACAAGCGTGTATTTCCATTTACTTTTGTTAAACGTCAATCAGATGGATTATATACATCTGATTGGTGGAGAATTATTATTATTATATGGAAAGAAAAATGCCAATTATAATAATATATATTTTTCGATATATTTTTTTTATTCATTATTAAAGTTTTGAAATTTAAAAGGAAAAAATTATTTTATAAATTAAGAGATTATAAAAGATATTTTTTTTTCCCCGATATTTATTATTAAATTTGTCGTAAACGATACATATTCTAATATAATGTTAATCAATTTTTATAGATATATATATATTAGTTTTATCAATTGTATATAATTAATGAAATGTCAGTCATTTCTGAAAAATATGTTGTTGATTTTTTTTTACAAAGAATCACTTTTTAATTTTTCATGATTTTTTTAATGATAAAAACCTTTAAATTTTTACTTACTGTGTCTTAATAAAAATATAGATACAATCCGTTCTATGTTTCCTTATTTTATAATTCTGAATTTAGCTCTTTAATTCAGTAGTTTTTCTTTCTGAGTTTATTTTTATATTAGAATTTAGTCTCACTTTTTTTCATATAGTTAACATTAAGTTTTTTTTTAATCAAAACTTTCGTTAATATAATTTTTTTGATAAAATTTTTGCAAAAGTTTTGGAAAATTCATTTTTAAATAAGGATATTATAAATTGTATAATAGTAATTTACGTTTTGTAAATTTGAAATTAAATCAATAAAGTTAATAAAATATATTCTTCCGAGGACACCGTTTTACTATACTTTCAAAGTCGTAATATAATATACTAAATGTCAGTCATTTTTATGACACGAAGAATTAATTTTCCTTGGGGGGGGGGAAGAAGTGAGAATGGGGAGATTACGAGATGCCAGCTGAAAAAGAACAAAGAAGATATATTGGATTACTGGGACCAATTTTGTAATGTGTTAGTTATTGGTATTTGTTTATATATTTTTTTTATTAGTTTTGTTATTTTAGTATTGTGAATAAAAGGGACTTTTGGATTTAAAAGATATATTATTAAAGGGATGGGTTGAGAATTTCTCTAATTCTTGTTCAGTATTTTTTTTATTTTTTAAAGTTTTTGCAAACATTTTTATTTGGTTTTTACTTTTTTTTAAAACTAAGATCCGGAATGGAATTGAACCGCCATACCGATTGGTTCGACTTTCTGGAAGTAACCAATGAGAAAAAAGCGGTAACCCTTTTCAAATTCTCAAAATTATGCTAATTTTAAATGATCCCCTCCCTACCCCCCTTACACTAACCCGCCACCCATATTCCCCCCCCCCCCCAAAAAAAATTTATTTTTTAAACTTTATGAAATCTGTTTTGAATGGATTTGATCTTTTGGGATATTCCGTCCATGATTGGATCGTATATAAATTCTGGGGAATATAAAAGCAGTAAGGAATTATCGTCCAGGAAATCGTTCCTATTTTCCTTCTCGCACATATTGCTGAATGATATTCAATTAATTTATATATATAAAATAAAAATTTCTTTGATAAAAAGTGGAGAGAGTTAGTGATCATTTCGATTTTATTAATAATATAATTTTGTTTCAAAAACCAAAAAATTAAATAATAATTTTTTTTATAATTTTTAAGATCTTCTCAGTAATGTTGTTGCTCCATCTGAGCCGATTTCGCAAAAAAAGGGCTAACTCAAAATTTTATCCAGATAAACATATGCGAGCCTGGCCCCCAAGGTCTAAGCATCTCCCAATGGCGACGAAGGTCTCGTGACTTTAGGCAAATATTTTTATAGTTAAACTGAGTTTGCCGTTTTTTAAAAAAATTAAGCCTTCTTCTAAAACACAAACTGAACTGTTTCGTCCATAATTCAATCTGATCCAAAAATAATGAATAAATGATCCCTGTCTTGTTGAATTTTTTTGAGAAATTATAAATATTAAAAACTGATTTCGATGACTTAAGAAAATGTTATTTCTTCGACAATTGGAAAAAAAAATAAATATGCTAAATATGAATCTCAACATATTTGGGACAAATTTTCCAATTTTCCAAATTTGCTATATAATATGAATTTTAATCACTGCGAAGATATTTCTTACTTGTCGTTCTAAATTTAGGGTTCTAAGAATTAAATTCTAGATAACGGGCGGAAGGAAAAAAACTGGAAAAATGTCATCATCGAATTTTGTTCCCATGACTCGTTTCCTTCATATCCTTCCTACTGAATCCCCTAAATTATCTTTAGAAATTCTTTCTAATTCGATCCACTTAAAAGTTTTAGCTGATTATTTGGGCTCAGTCTACAGTAGAAACAAGGAGGCGGGGGGGAAATTTTAATTATATTTTACTGACTTCTGGAAATCGAGATCGATGTTTGACATGTCCTGTAGATATGAGGGTGATCTGTCTCGGCTTGAAGTGTATTTATAATTCAATCCATCTGTTGCACCTATAATTTTTTTATTTAAAAAAATAAGTTTTGATAAATATATCGCGATTGGAGTTGTATGAGAATAATACGTCATAGAGAAACCATTATTAACTTCTCCGCCATTTTCTCACCGACTCCATTTTTTTTTTTTGCAAAATAAAAACTAGAAAGTGTGTGATTAGTATTTAAAAAAAAATATATATATTGGAGTAATTGGGAGAAGTAACTATCTTATGTTCAATGACTTAAGACTGAAGATGTTTTCATTAAAAAAATAATATGCGCCAATGAAAACAGCTGGGGACGCCATTTTGATTACCCATATTATTATTTAAAAATTTTTTAAACGAGAGGGCCAATTTATTCCTATGTCTGACGCAAACTTTATTAAAGAATCACCTTGTCATCGATATAAAAAGGAAAGCAAGTTTATCAATTTAATGGTGGTTTTTTAACACGAGCCTAATTTCCATATGGGTTACCAAAATGGCGGGTCCAGCTGATTTGCGTTCGACGACGCCTTCAAGCATTATAAACGCATAGTCAGTCTAGGTATTATTATATGTCATTGCATATGTTTATAGTTTATCATAAATTTTGTTATCTTCAAGTATATTTTTCTCAAATGCTTGGGGCTTCGAGCACTCCGATTGTCAAAAAATTTAAAATATCTCGCAAAATGATTGGCAGCTAAGAATGACATTTTAAAATATCATTTCTTTGAGAACTCATAAAATATTGAATAACGAATTTGAATTATATTACTTTCAAGCCTAAATTTTTATTTTTTTTGTTATTTGAAAGCATAGCTCAGTGAAGAAAACACGAATAAATAAGCTCACGCCTGAATGCTTAATAAATTTTCCTCGGCTCACCCCTGTAGATCGCGCCGGATCAGCTGATTAGGAAGGAAGGAAGGAAGGGAGGAAGGAAGGAAGGAAGGAAGGAAGGAAGGAAGGAAGGAAGGAAGGAAGGAAGGAAGGAAGAATATATATATAATTACGGTGTTCTCTGAGTCCTTCGTCGAAACCCTCGTCGTACTGTGTCAGGCTTCGGTTACTTCCCAAAGTTTTGTCGGTACGTTCGTCCACGAGTCCCGAATCGTTAAAATCCTTTGGGCTCCCATATTTATTGTTGTCTTTTATAGTTCGGGTTAGCTCGTAACAAATTTTCTCAAGATTTTCCTTTAGCCAAAATAAAAGGAAGAAAGAAAGAAAGAAATAAGCAAATGCAAACGTAATTTCTTAATTATGCTAATTAATTAGGGTTTAGGGAATTTAAAGGTTATTTTATGGATAGATTTGGGAATCCGCAAAAGTTATAGCGATGCGCTCAAGCGGACGCGTAAATTTAAAATACGGCTAAGATTTAGTTTTGAGCCACGAATTAATTACGCGTTTGTTCGAACGACATCGCGTTTACTAATAAAACGAGGCCTTAAGATTACGAAGGTATAATGCGTCAAGCGGGTGCGGACTATTAACCATTGACAGATAAGTATTCTTTCAAATATGCCCGAAGTTTTAATAATAAAATTGATTATACTAATTAATTAAAATGGTGAAAGAATTTTTAAAATAACTTGTTTTTAAGAAAGTAATAATAGAGATAGATTGGGTAATATGTGTTTTTTTCCCGGCATTGTGCTATTTTATCAACCTTTAGATAATTTTTTGAGCGCATTTTTAAAGATTTATGCATCCGAATTTGCCGGAAACGTATTCATTCCATCACGTTTAGAAAAACCTATCTTACGAATTTGTAGACACTTTTGTTGTTTAACCTTTGAGTGATTTTTATAATTTATATAAAATATATATAAAAGTTCGTGGAAAAATTGTCTACACATTCGTAAGATAGGTATATTCCAAACATGATAGAATATATTTCCGGTAAAAATCCTATTTTTAAATTTTTAAATAAAACGCGTTTTGACGATAACATATGTATCTTTCTCTTCTAAAGATAAGAATTTTAAGTTTAAATTAAATTAAATTGTAACTATTTCCTGACTATACTTTTTGCCTATTTAAAATTGCGAAAAAGAAATAAATTATAACTATAATTTGGTATTAATGTCTATTTCTCTTGGGGAAACAATATTTCCCCTTATTTATTATATACTGTTTCACTTCATTCCCCTTTGTAAAGGTTGAGGAGTGAATTTATAATAAACTTTGAGTGTTATATTAATCTAAAAAAAACAGAAAAAAAATTGGAAATAATTTACGATTCTCTGGATCAAGGCGTCAGTTTGAGTTTGGTTTGATGCCTTCCTTCCAAAGCTTTGCGAGTAAAAAATTGTTTAAGTATTTTAACATTTGGGTTATTTTTAAAATATTCTATCATCTGAATATCATCAGCAAATATAAAATTTATAAATCTAATCTTTAAATAGTTCAAATTTTTTCAAAAAGGGGGGGGGGGGTATAATTGAATTATTATTTTTCTGGCATCTCCTTCCTTTATACTCTGGCATGTTAGAAAATTGAACCAATTTGAAAGATGATAGGTAGAAATGAGCCATAAATAAATAAATTCCTTTTTTTAGACTTATTTATTCGTCAAATATTTTGTTTTTAAAAATGCTTATTGGGTGGCGTCAGGAGATACAGGAGAACCAATAAAAACAGGGGGAATTTTTGGACCAATAGGTGAATTGCACGTAAATAATTGGTATTTAAAATTGTCGATAAGAGAAATCAAAGTATAGGGATCAAAATTTTTTGGCCCAACATGGGCAGTACATTTTCCGATACAAAAATAGTTGATAGGAAAATTTGATTGGCATTTAGAAATTTGGTTAAATTAGGGAGTTGTAGGAATTATCGAGAGCCCAAATAAGACATTAGTGTATTTAATTTAATAATATATGAAAATTTATGGATTATAATTACCGATCAGTTGAGAGTGAATCCCTAGTCTTTGGTTCGATAGAAGAAAATTTATCCATCACGTGACTCAGTTGCCGGATGCTATCTCTAGTTTCATTTTTAAAAGACCTTTTTTTAAAATAATTTTTTTTTTTATTTGTATATAGCAGAGTTGTTAAATGATACTTTTTAAATGGATCTAGATACAGATACAACGTCTAAAATTATATATAGATACAGATTATTTAATCAAAAATCATTCAAGATACAGATACCACATTTTTATATCTAGATACAGGATCTAGATCCTTTAACAACTCTGGTATATAGTATATATATAATTATAATGTGGGTGTAAAACGCCTCGCACAAACCGGTTCGAATCGGATCCGCGTCTAATCTGGCTGAACTCGGATCGGGATCACATTCTTAGGAGTCGGTTGAGCCGATTTATGAGATGAACTCTGTCAAAAATTTACATTATATTTTTTCTTTCCTAATGCTCATTTTTAAGATCTTAGTATTTTTTAAAACATATTTCCGTCTATCTTAGTGCTAAACAGATCTTAACAGTTGCGAGGACGCCCAATTTTGGTTCGTTAAACAAATATTTTGGTTTGGAAAGAGTCACCAAGAGTATGTTACCTAAATTCTAAGGAGCCTTCTTTTTTTAGGCTTTTTAGAAGGAAAGCTCGACAGAACGGCTTAGCAGTCTACTTTGTTTAGAAAATACAAACATTTTGATTTGGAACACCAAGAGTATGTTACTGTTACCTAAATTCTAAATAGCTTTCTTCTTCTTAGGCTTTTTAGAAGGAAAGCTCGACAGAACGGCTTAGCAGTCTACTGTGTTTAGAAAATACAAATATTTTGGTTTGGAAAGAGTCACCGAGAGTATGTTACTGTTACCTAAATTCTAAATAGCTTTCTTCTTCTTAGGCTTTTTAGAAGGAAAGCTCGACAGAACGGCTTAGCAGTCTACTGTGTTTAGAAAATACAAATATTTTGGTTTGGAAAGAGTCACCGAGAGTATGTTACTGTTACCTACGTAAATTCTAAATAGCCTCCTCCTTTTTAGGCTGGCTCTTTTAGAAGGAGAGCTGTACAGACTGCTAAGCAGTCCACTCTTTAGGAATAAGACCAACCAGGGACAAGATTCTATTTCTTATAAAAAAAATTGTTTTGAAAAATACTTTTTAACTCATATTATTTGTTTATATTATCTATCCCATCTTTTTTATAAAAATCAAAAGTGTGTTTTCTCCGTTTCGCGCGTTAAATCTGAAGGTCATCAAAGAAAAAACTAGAAAAAGAATAAAAAATTAACTTTAACTGACATGAATTCTTCTCTCAACATCTTCATCTCGTTTTTCGTGGATGAATATTCCTCGGTAACCATCCCATTCACGTATTTATCCAGATCGGAAGAATCTTTGTAGCTTCCTTTGTTGATGTCGGCTACGTTCACGCTTTTGGCCCTGTAAATAGGGTGCTTTTCGACTATGACGTTCATTTGGGAGTCGCTTAGTTTATTATTATCTATTTGCGACTTTTTGAGCCAAGATGATAGGGTGGTGGGTTGGGGTAGAGATATTTAAATATTATTTTAAAAATTATAATTTAGAAAAAATATATTTTTCTTAAATTTTAATCAATCGTTAGTATTTTCTGAATGAGTGACATCTTTAAATCAAAAATAATTATTTGATTGGATGAGAATTGTGGTATTATTGAGGTCATTCCATGTGACCTGGTATTCCACTAGGGGTTGAAGAAATCTTAGATTTTAAAATAGTTTATAGTTGAAGGTTTTTTTAAACACGTGATTTTGAAGGAATAATACCTCAGCATACCCCAGCACCTGTGTAGCACCTATCTTATCAATTTCAGACAATTTCACTGTAAAATTATGAACTCAATAATTTATTAAGGATAATATCAAAGTTATCGCAAAATTGTCTGAATAGGCCATGGTGACGTAAGTTTTTCTGGAATAAGGGTTTATCCGGAATCCTCACATGAGAATTTGGAATCTTTCAAATTCAAAAAAAAAATCTTCAAGACCAAAAAAATAAACTTCCATATCATTAGAGCTTTATATACTACTCAATGATATCTATTATATTAGTTGGCGATGTCCTTTAAAAGTTTACATACATTAGTGTTGTTAGAACGGTCGATTTGAAGCCAGATTTTTAAAAGGAAAAAAAAGAAAGAAAGAAAGAAAGAAAGAAAGAAAGAAAGAAAGAGAAAGAAAGAAAGAAAAGAAAGAAAATGGCTAACTCCATATTTTATCCAGAATAATATTATGCAAGGCCTAAAAATTTTGCTCCATAGATGGCGCAAAAGTCCAGACATCGATTAGCGAAATCTCGCGGCTTGGGCGATATTATTCTGGCTAAAATATTGTGGTAGCAGTTTTTAAAAATCGGCTCAAAACGCGCCGTTTAACAAGACTACTTGGGAGTCATCGTAGCGACATATTTTGGTGTTTCCAAGTCGATTAAATGTGTACTAATTTTTTTATAATTTTTATATTTAAAATAAGAATCAATATTATCAGCTCAAAAGTGCCTCACGGGAACGGGAAAGCTCATTCTTACCCCGGGTATACCTCATCCTTTCCTCGAGCTAGTTTTTATTTTCTTGAAAAATTAATATTGCTGAAAAAAATAATGCAACATAAAAGTAAATAAGGGCAATAAAATGAGATATTTATTTATTTCGATATTAATTTTATCGACCTCTGCCTTTTAGGGCTCACATGCACCCCGGTCTGTCTCCCCCTTAGCATTTATACATCATTTATACCAACATATATATAAAGGATAGAATAGAGCTATAAAATTATATTTAAAAAACTAACCTTGACGCTATTTCCTTTTTGAATGCTTGATAAATTAGGGGTTGGCAGTCGATTTTTCTCGTGATCATGAATGGTTTCCATGATCGTAACTTTGTTTTTGATCCCAGGTAAATCTCTTCTTCCGCCCTTGGAATCCTTAGAATCCTCCGTAGTTACAGATCTCGATTTGTTCGAAGAATCTATTTTCAAAGAACTCTTTCAATTTTTGTTTTGAAATTATAATTATAAAAAAATTTAAAATTTTTGTGACCAATCAAGTTCAGATTAAAAAAAATGAATTCGAAATTAATTCAAAATTAGTCACGTGGATTTTAAAATTAATCACGTGTTTCTGGGTTTTTTCGGTGTTTATGATAATTAAATAAACCTAATATCTGAGTAGTATTAAAAATATATATAATTTATATAATACTTTTCTGTCGGGCTTGGAAAACGAGTTATCAATTATAGCCATGGTATTGACACTATTCTTACGGCTAGGAGACTCCAAATATTTGGTGTCACCTAAGCCTCTACGGGTAGCCTTTGGATTAGAACCATATCCGCTAATGGAATCGTCGCTAAAATCGATACTTTCGACCATCTTCTGGTCACTCATTTTGCCATCGTATCTCTGATAATCCTTTTTACCCGTTAACGTTCGATCATTATACACGTGATTGGCTGTGGTGAGACCCGAACCCTTCGAACTCCGCTCTTCTAAACTTTCGCTCTCATTTCCGCTTTTCATTTTTAAATTTTCCGGTTTGTATTTGCTCGTTTCCGCCGAATAACTAACCCTTTTATTTGTGAGACGCCCGGAAGGGGCATTTATATCGCTCGTTTTTTCTGCTATTACAGAGTTTTCGCCATCATCACTGCTGAAGGATTGCTCTTTAGACTTTTTACCAATATCCAGACTTTTAATTTTATCTTCTTCATGATTCTTATTTTTATCCGCGAAATCTTTCACGCTATCCCGCCGTTTCTTGGCATCTCTTTTAGCAGAAGAATTTGAGCCTTCGGAAATGTCTTGGCTATCATCGCTAGCTTTGCTAATCCTGGGGGAAGAATTGGACTCGGAAGAAGAAAAGGAAATTTGGTTTTTGAGTATGTCTCCCGTATCCTGGCCCGATAAAGAGGAAGAGGAACTCGAAGCTGAGAATGAAACCTTTTCTTTCTTTATTTTATTTTTATCGGAATGTAACAGAGTTTCCAATAGAATTCAGTGTAATTTACCCCAAACTTAACCATTTAAATCATTCATAGCGCGCGTACAAGAAATTCCAAAGATGTATAAAGTACCCCTACCCTTGATTCAGACAATTCATTATAATCAAATTATGAAAATCGATTTTCCAAATATAAATTTTAACTCAAAATTTCTTGGCAAATTTGACACTGATATTCATGGTATAGGGCAGACAACTGTTGGAATACTATTTCTGGGCAATCTTTATTAGAATACTATTTCCGGGAATCTCTAAAAAAATTTTAAAAAAATGCGCGCTATAAACGATCAATGTTAAAGAATCCATATACTTTCTATTCTTTCAATTTCTTTATATAACTTTTCCTTTCTTTCTTAGCTTTAGTTCTTTCTTTCTTGCATCTTTCTTTCTTTTGTCTTTCTTTCTTTCTCGAGATTTTCGCTAATGGATCACCAAAATTTGTTCCATCTGTTGACCAAAATTTTCAGGGTTGGGGAAATATTATTTTCTGGATAAAATATTGAGTTAGCCATTTTTAAAAATGGGGCTCAAAACGAGCCATTTAACAACACTAATTATCAGTAATGATTTTTGATTGGCTAATGAGAGCCAATCAGGATCGGTTCAGATTGCTTCACGACGAAGAAGAACCTTTCAAGAATGGTCGTCGTCAGCTGAATTTATAATCGAGTTTAGAAACCAAATAGAATCTAGTTATTTTATTCGCAAAAACACACTTAGTTATTAAGGCAATGGTATGGGTTTATGGTAAGTAATTGTGTTGTATTAAATTTTAAAATCTGGGGAACTGTTTTGGTAAATCATCATATGTTGGCCGACGCCATCTCTAATGGACCCTAAGCTTAAATGACAAAAAATTAAACAAAAGAAAGAAGAAAGAAAGAAAGAAAGAAAGAAAGAAAGAAAGAAAGAAAGAAAGAAAGAAAGAAAGAAAGAAAGAAAGAAAGAAAGAAAGAAAGAAAGAAAGAAAGAAAGAAAGAAAGAAAGAAAGAAAGAAAGAAAGAAAGAAAGAAAGAAAGAAAGAAAGAAAGAAAGAAAGAAAGAAAGAAAGAAAGAGAAAGAAAGAGAAAGAAAGAGAAAGAAAGAAAGAAAGAAAGAAAGAAAGAAAGAAAGGAAAGAAAGAAAGAAAGAAAGAAATAAAGAAGGAAAGAACTTTCCATAACTAAAAAGCTAATTTTTTCTTTCTTAAACATAAAAATGGATATGATAGATTAATAAGACATTTATTAGCTGGATGTAAAAAAACAATCAAAATAAATCGACAATTATGAAAATAAAAAATCATTTAAAATTATATATCAAAGAAATTAAAATTAATGAAATTAAAATTAATGAAAAAAAAACCTTCGAAAGGCTTCTAGAATTTTCGAGAATCTTGGAATGTTGCTTGGATATTTTTCTCGGTTCTATTTCATCCCTCGATATATTCTTCAGCAGGGAAGATAACGTCGCGTTAGAACTTCTAGGGTTTCTCAAATTTAAAACCATCTTTTTTTTTCTTCTAATTTTTATATAATTTATTTTATTTATTTTTTATTTTTATATTTTATTAAAAAATAAAATAAATAATTTTTATTAAATTTAAAAATTAATTACCTCTCTGTCTTTTATTTTGATATTATTATTTTTACCTTTACGTTGTAAAATAATATCGATTTTCCTCTATAACAAAAAAAACAGGATAAAAATTATAAATATTTTAAATTGTATTTTGATGATTTAGGTAAAACTTGTCTAATTTGGGCTCTTGATAATTCGGGAAAAACTCACTAATTTGACTAAAAATTCAAATTCCTTAGAAAATGTGAATGGTCTTGATGATGGGCAACTGTCAAAATTGGGGGAAAAAAATCTTGGTTCCCTAACAGTTCCCAAATTTGAAATTTGACAGGTTTCATTGAATATTGTTTTAACATAAAAGAGCAGATGAGGTAGAGAGGTTGATTTATTATTTCTTCACCTGATTGGTTAATTTTAGAAGTCACGTGGGAATAAAATATTTAAAAAAATAATATTTATTAATAAATTCTACTACAAAAGGTTTATTATGCAATGTGTACTTATTTAATCAGAAACAAAATTAAGCCCCTACGGTTCTAAATAGACAATTTGTATTTTATTTTACAAGAAATGTTCTTTCTTTCTTTCTTTCTTTCTTTCTTTCTTTCTTTCTTTCTTTCTTTCTTTCTTTCTTTCTTTCTTTCTTTCTTTCTTTCTTTCTTTCTTTCTTTCTTTCTTTCTTTCTTTCTTTCTTTCTTTCTTTCTTTCTTTCTTTCTTTCTTTCTTTCTTTTCTTTCTTTTCTTTCTTTTCTTTCTTTTCTTTCTTTTTCTTTCTTTTCTTTCTTTTTCTTTCTTTTCTTTCTTTCTTTCTTTCTTTCTTTTCTTTCTTCTTTCTTTCTTTTTCTTTTCTTTCTTTCTTTCTTTCTTTCTTTCTTTCTTTCTTTCTTTCTTTCTTTCTTTCTTTCTTTCTTTCTTTCTTTCTTTCTTTCTTTCTCTTTCTTTCTTTCTTTCTTTCTTTCTTTCTTTCTTTCTTTCTTTCTTTCTTTCTTTCTTTCTTTCTTTCTTTCTTTCTTTCTTTCTTTCTTTCTTTCTTTCTTTCTTTCTTTCTTTCTTTCTTTCTTTCTTTTCTTTCTTTCTTTCTTTCTTCTCTTTCTTTCTTTCTTTCTTTTTCTTTCTTTCATAATATACTATATAAAATATATAATTGAGGGATATTGACACGAACCAAAAAATATATAAAATAAGATTTGAAATATTTTTTTGGGGCTTATATGGGTGTTGTTAAAAAGGTACTTTTAAAAGCGGAACGCTACCACTATTTTTCGAAAATAAGACGCAACCAATCATCTTTATAAAAATAGCTTGTATGCTACTTATATTATCATCTTAAAAATTTTTGGTAAATTAAAATCCTTTTCATTTTTCTTCATAAATCTTGTTGAGGGTTATAACATTTTCATATTCAATTTTTTTTACAGAAAAACATTTTTTGACATTTACCTGTCATACTGTCAATCAAGAAAGACATATAATTTATTTCCGCTTAGAGATTTATATCTATTTAAAAAATTTTTTTTAGAAAAATCTTGTTTTCATTTTTTTTTAAAAGTGAAGAACAATATGCCAAATATTATTCAAAAATTAAAACAGATTGCTCTAAAAAAATATGATGGACATGTGACCAAAGGTGTTTGTCACTGACAGGTGAGGGGGGGTGCTTAAACGATACATTTTTTAAATTATAAGGTATACATATTTTAATGATTTTTTTTATTCTTATTTTGTTATAATATAGGAGGGGGGAGGGAGAGAATTATTTATATTTTAAAAATATAGTCATATGTATTAATATTTAATAGTTAAATATAATGTATATTTTATAAATGAATTAAATCCGTAAAAAAAAATATTAAATAATACACAAATAATTAAGCTTTAAAAAGAAAGAAAGAAAGAAAGAAAGAAAGAAAGAAAAAAAAAGAAAGAAAGACAAGATCCCCAAAAACATGAATAATAAATATTTTAAAATGATAATTTGTATATTTTGTTTTGAAAAATAATATTCGTTGGGTTCTGATGTGCAGGCTCTTAGTTTGCTACCTATATTTTTTTTAAAAAAATTTTTAAGTTCCGCATGACATATGTCCAAGGGATGAGATAACGATTGGGTTTAATTTTGTTATAATAAGTGCTGATAAATGCTTTGGCAACTTGATTATCTAAAATTTTATAAATCACCAAATAGGCGTAACATATATAGGAGAGGCCAGGGTAGAGAGATTAGTGTTGTTACGAATCTTAAAAACCGCTAACTCAATATTTTATCCAGAAGTGCAGACATAAAGTCTTAGCTCATAGATGACACATAGGATTGACCATCTATTGGCGAAATCTCGACACTTAGGCAATATTTTCCTGACCATAATGTTGAGTTAGCCGTTTTTAAAAATCGGCTCAAATTGAGCCTTTTAACAACACTAAGAGCGATTGACGGGGTAACAATGTTAACGCGAATAACATTATGACCCCTGAGAATAAAAGACCTTAAACATTTGATGCGCCATGTTTTTATTATATATCTACTAATTTCTTGCCAAAACTTTACCGGTTTCGATATACTTTGCCAAAAAAAACATTATTTTTTATCCAAATACTCCGGTGGGATGTCGGTCGATATTAATACTCCGGTTGGAGATCAATCAGCGAGATGAATGATATTGATTATTGTAATATACTATTTATACTATCTCTACATTAAAAATGATTATATTCGTCAATTAGATAGGATTATTGTGAAATAGGTATGTAAGTATTGTTAGTTGTAAAGATATATGTATATGTGATGAATGCACGTAAAAAAATAATAATATGTAATGGATCGATATGTATGATAAATATATAAAAAATAAATTATTAATAAATTTGTATTATTTTAGAAAATAAGAGGGTTATGAATATCTTTAATTTGTTGTATTACATTATTAATTTTTTTATTATATTATTATATTTTTATTTTGTGCTTTCAGCAATAAAGAAGTCTTGATATTGAAATAAGATTGTTGAATAAATAAATATATTTATTGTTAACCCCATTAATTGGCAGCCTAAAATATTAACCACAATTAATTAGAACCAATAAAATAATAGATATAATGATTATATAATTTTATTGATATAATATAATATTAGATGAGGTTAACTACCTAACACCCATATCATCTATCATGATGTTATATCCGGATGAATATATCTTGCTTTTATTTGTATGTGTCATATGGATTAATAAATATATTTGATATGTGCAATTATCTTAAATATTATATGGGCGATGTAATATAAGTATGTATTCTAATTTATTAAACTTATAATAAACAAATATAGTAAATTTTTACCATATTCAGGGTTGCCAGGTCCTCCACATTTGCCACGATTTTATTAATAAGTGGAAATGTACCACACTCAACTTAACTATCGCATTTAAAATTTTCTGATACCATAAAAACTGTCACAAAATCTTCCACATTTTAAATTTTTTTAAAAAATTATATAAAAATTTTTATATAAAGATACCATGTATTTTATATTTGATTTAAAGAGAAGATAAGATAAGATACGACGGAAAAGAAACTGCTCGTAAAACTTAGTAAGAATTTGAGAAAAATTAGTAAAAATTAATAACTTTTTAAAATAATGACTATAATTCAAAATTTTTAGAAAAAAAAGCAATTTTGACAAAAAAAAAGTAAAAACCCAAAATTATTTTTATAAAAATCTAATATAGCCAAAAGCTATAATAAGTGTACTTAATGATCTCCAACAATTTTATGGGGTAAAATTTACCCCATAGTGCTCTCTACCCATAGTAAAATCCTGGTTACGCCAGTGCAAAAATGCATATTACACCGAAGTTTTTAAAAATCTATGGTGGTTCCTTTACTCTTAAATTTGTTAAGCTTTATATGATAACCGATAAAAGGATGAGGTTTTTATAATTATTGCGATTTCATATAAGCTAATTTGTATAAATTTAAAAATGATAAAACAATTATCGTAAGAATGGATTAGGGTTAGGCACATTATATTCTTTGAAATAAAGCCAGTAATTAAAATTTTTTACAATTTATTTCATTAAAGAGTTTGGGAGGTAAGTCTTTTCAAAAAAAATCTACCATAAATTTAATAATTTTTACCTGGCAAATCTGATCATATTATATTAGTATTGTTAAAAAGCGTCGATTTTAGTCAAAAAAAAATTATGTAAACCTCAAATTGTGGCAAATAGACTCCCAAACCTTTTTGCCATCTATGAGAAAAATCCCCACCAGGCTTACACAATAATATTATGATTATACTCTTAAAAGGAAATTTTAAAATTGGACTAATGGGCTATTTTCCATTTTGTGATTTGGTACTCAAAGTCAAAGATATTGGTTATTTAAATTATTCACGCACTCATCGAAACCATATGTGAAAAAATCAATATTGCTAGATGAGATTTTTTGAGCAACGCCTTTTTTATATTTCAATGCAAATATTATTTTCAATGCAACAAAATATTATAAACAAAAGTAAACCATTTATTTATATCTCTAATATATATTCATATTAGATTGTCTATTTTATGATGGCAATTCTGTTAGATATGATTGGGCATCTGATAATAATTACCAAGTATAAATATCTTTAAATTCATTATAAAAATTTATTAAAAAGTCACTGCAACAATCTCTTCTATGTGCAATATCAAAACAACACCAGTTGCAGTCTATTTTAGCAGGTTATAATATAGAATTATTGCATTGATTACAATAAATCTTAACATTTTTTATTACATTGTAATTTTAAACACAAATATATAGATAGCTCAATTGTTTCAACAATATCCAATCAATTTCAAATTAATAAAAAGTAATACTTAAAATTATATCATATTTTATTTTATACATACACTGTAACCGTAATTTTAATTCTTAATGATTCATAACATGAGTATTCATTTAGTTTTACCAATCAATGAATATCAAATTAAATAAGGATTGACATAATTACAAATGTATTATAATTCTATTCATGCATGATGTCTAAATAGTTTCTGTAGATAGTAATAGAAGCTGTTTTTCTTTCTTGTCTTATTCTATAACTTTTGTATATGCAGAATTCAATATCAAATCTAATAAAGTTAACCTGGTCCTCTCAAATTTTTTAAAATTTGTATATTGATATATACTATAACTAAATTTTACTTCCTTATAACACTTACTCTTTAAGATCTGGGGATTTATCGAATGGAAATATGGTACATTTTTGATAAAATGCATTTCATTAATACTATAATATCTCAAGAAAAAAATAAGTATTATATAAATTAAAAAATATATATATTAAATCACCAATTTTCTTCTACGGGAATATAAGTATAACACTTTCTTCTCCAGAAATTAGCTTTGCTGTCAAAAACCTGGTTGATAGATAATTTTACATTCTTAAATATTAATCATTGATTCATATTATACACGCCTGTTCATGTATAGGATTACTGAGCCATTTTTTCCTGACTCCAATTGTCATATTTCTTTTGTAGTTGATGATATGTATAATTTATTATATAACTATTTTTTTGATTGGGTAAAGAATCATTTGTTATATAATAAAGCTGAACGCGAAATATTTTGAGAATAAGATACTTCTTCCTTTGAAGAAAAATCTAAAAAATTATATATAATAAACAATATAAGGTTAAATGTTACAAACCTTTGGGAGAATAGTGAAATTATTCATATAAGTTGGGAAAAGTTTAAATTTTTTTTTAATAAATTGCAAATGTGTTTTTTAAATTATTTTTGCAATCAAAATACTTTTATCTGGATGAGTTTTAATTTAATCGTCAACATGTTCCATAAAATCTTTGTAAAATAATATTACATATGATAATTAGAGCCTTTAATAGATGTTCACAAAAAAAACGCGGGTAGTTCTAATTAAATTTCTTTTATCTTTAACAGCACTCAGAAGCTTTGAATTCTTAATAGCTTCCTGATAACTTATAGGGTTTTGAATGATGCGAACCCTACAAAACTTTTGCAAAGTTCGGTTTGGGTTCGGTTTAAGGTATAAAAATGATGGGTTCGGTATAGGAAAATATTTTTGAACCCAGGTTCGGGTTCGGGTTCACTCGGGTTTGAGAATTTTTGAATTGATAAAAAAAAAATTCTTATATTAAATCGTAATTTAAAAAGTAGACATAAATTTGGTACAAAAAATAAATTTTTTATTTTATTTATAGGCAAAATACAGTTAAAAATACAAAGCTTAGTCATGTATTGATTTCAAAAAATTAAGAGAAGAGACGAGAAGAGAAGAGAAGAGAATTTAGACGTAATTCTTTAAATTAACAATATCAAATATAATAATTTACTTTTGAGTTGTTCCTTCATTTTCCTCTAATTTTCTAATCTTTGAGGATAGGTTAAAAATTTAAAATAAAATGGCTTAAAAGAATTTAATTGTTTAAAATTTATTAACACTCCAATAGGAATCTTTGAGAATAAATCTATTTTAAAAATGGCGTAAATAAATTAAGTTGTGTCAAAATTTATTAACAAATATTTGTATTTACAATTATACAACAAATATCTTACATTAATTTAAACAATACACTGAACCCGGTTGAACCCGGGTTAAAAATAAATTCCAGAATTCGGTTCAGGTTCGGTTCGGGTTCCGATTTTTTCCCAAAAACCCGGATTTTTTTTCGGTTTCGGGTTCGTTCGAACCTCTGGCCACAGATAGATATTGATGAATTGAGTGACCATTGTTGATCATTTTGAATTAATAAATATGCATGAATTGATTAGAATCATCGTTAATTTTTTCAATTAAAAAATTAATTAAATCTAAGAAAAAATTATTAATGAATAATTTTATTAATTTATAATTATATAATATATATTTTATTTTAAAATTAATTAGAGATGCTATAAATTGTCCCAATCTTAAATTTAAATGTATATATTTTTTTAAAAAAAAATAATCAAAATTAGCAATTTATCCAGATGCATCAACAAGGAAAATGGATATGTTTTGTTAGACGGTACTTGTTATAACGAGAACCAAATCATGCCTGATGCCTACTTCGAGTCTTCGAAATCTTTTAATCTACCTCAAGTAAGAGAAATGTGACATGGGCCATGGGCCATTTTTTTTGCTTTTTTAAAAAAAAATTTATTGAGATTTTGGGTTTTACCGAACAAATTTTAAATCAACGTGTAGCCTGATTATTAATCTTTGAAAATAATTAGAATCAAAGCTCTATCTGTAAATAGTTTATGAGCGGCTAGATGTGGTTAGGTGAAAGTTGTTTTTTTCTGGCCAGTCAAAACATGGTACGTATTCACTGGCCATATACTACGTGTTAACTGGCCATAATATGTTATTTAAGAATTCCCCTTTTTTTAAAAAATTTTTACAATTAAAATATGACATCAAAATATTATTTTATTCTAATTAATTATTCTTTTTTTTTAAAAAAAATTAAATATTCAAGTCAAAAACTACATTCAAATCTTTTCCTTTGCGTGAACGATTGAAGGCTGCCGATTCTGAGTGCAGAGTAAATGCAATATAAATATATGAATTCGCTAAGAATTTTCTTATGTTAGTGCTGTAAAAAGAAAGTAACTTTAAAAAAGAAATTCGTTACATTTAAAAAAAAGGCACGCAACGGGTGATTATAAAATACGATGATATCATTTTGATATTAATATCCGGTACTAGTGTTGTCAAACGGTTCGTTTTGAGCCGATTTTTAAAAACCGGTAACTCAATATTTCATCGAGAACAATATTCGCAAGACCTGAAGATTTGGTTTATAGAAGGAACAAAGGTTATTTATCAGCGAAATGTCGGGGCTTAGAAAATATTTTTCCGGCTAAAATATTGAGTTAGCCGATTAACAACCCTACCCAGGTACGGTTGTGAGGAAATGGAAACCAGTTCATTCCTTTTATCATGGGGTTAACCTTATTTTTTGTAAAAAGAAATAAATATGCTCGTTCCTTCTCTCTCTCTTTTTTTTAAGAAACTATCTTAACAATAAAAATTAGAAAGAAAAAGAAACGAAACGCGCGGAAAACGCTTTTTAAAAAAATAAGATTCTTCTATATCATGGTTCGAACGTGATCGTGTCGTATAGTTCTTTTTCCTTTAAAAAATTGAAATTTTAAAGGAATCCCGTGAAGATCCCTGATAGTTATGATCCCATATAGTTATGATCCCTTTAAAAATTGCGAAATATATATATATTCATAATAATAATGATGTAAAACAATAACAATAAACCTAATATTATAAATCTTTATAAAGCTAATACGTTTAAAAAAAAATCGATAATTTTTCTACTTTGGTTAACATATGAGGGGAAAAAATAATTAATATTATTTATCACACTTTCAAGCATAAGATAGTCAACGCGTTGCGCGTTACCCTTTTGAAACGAGTAACGAATGGAGTTCCTTTTACTCTAAAAAAAAGTAACGCTGTTAGTAATAATGAACAAGAAATAATATAGAATAAATACTAGCGGAAAAGGTTTAGAAAGAATTTGGGACGATTGTATTGAATACCTACGGAAGATTGAAGGTTAAGAATATATAAATTTTAGAATGTAGAATCCGTGAAGATTAAGAATATTAATAATTTAATTATTCTTTACTAAGATCAAATAAAAACAAAAAGTAAAAGTAATCATAATCATCTTGGTTTATATACAAAATTAATATCAATTTAATATTATATAAAAATCAATGTATATAACGTTTCAAAATTTCAATTTAATACGATATATAATATAATATGTCGTTTTAAGCCTTAGGTCTTCTACAATACAAAATACATTAATAAACATTGTTACTTGTATTTAACAGTAACTAGTGTAAATTTACAGCACTAATATATATATATATAATATATGTAATGTATAATAATTATATAGTAACGAAATTTCTAACTCATTACATTATATTCATAGGAAAGAAAGAAAGAAGAGAAAGAAAGAAGAGAAAGAAGAGAAAGAAAGAAGAGAAGAGAAAGAAAGAAAGAAAGAAAGAAAGAAAGAAAGAAAGAAAGAAATATTTCAAGTAGAATAAATAGGCATATAGTTATATATATAATATACATACTTCAAAACCCTTTCTTCAAAGTACAAGAACAACATAACGGCCTGCAACATGATAGCCAATTATTGCGTACTTAGCCATTACGCCGAATTAAACTATTGGTGCAAAGTTTTTAGGGATTTGGTCGATGCTAAACTTCCATTGCTATTGTCTAGGTCATAAATTATGAAACAAATTATTTATTTATTTTTTTTGCTAGGTTATACTTAGAAGAAAAGAATAAATTTTGGACTCTTGTAAAAAAAAAATAGAAAAATAATGAAGGGAGTTAAAATTTAAGAAATGGAAGGAAGAAAGGTTAAAAATAAAAGTGAGAGAATATTAATGAATGAAAGATATGATGAATAAAAAATTGTGTTTATGGATAGGATCTCTAATTCGACCCGTCCGCTTGACGATATGAACGATGTGCCCATTATATTGTACAACTCCTATATGGCCAACAATCTCAACGCCCTCTTTGACGGCAAAGAAAAAATGGTGAGAACTTTTATTTTTATTGTCCATTTTATACTACTAATATTTTCGAAAATTTAAAATAAATAAGAGAGCTAAAGTGGGAGTCAGTTAAACTGTGGCAACGTATAAAAACGTTATATAACACGATGAACTTACTCTATGACATCGAGTAAATGGTGGTAGCATATTAATTCTACCTAGACGATCCATTCGTTTGAATGCGCGTCAATCAGTAAATGTATATGCTCTATAGATTAACCATTGATTGATTAAAAGTGTCCATATTTAGGAATCAGCTGTAGCGTCATTTTGTTATTTGCACATTGACCAATTTATCATTATAAGAATGCACGTTAATGTCATTTAATCGACGTTGTAAACCATCAAAATTGCGCTAATAGCTGATTCATATATATACGGACATTTTTAAAATGCATTTAATGAATGAATCGCTAATTTTGTTATCAGTGGTATCAATACAAAATATGATCAACTGTTAACACCATTTTTGGTCAATTTTTGTGATAACTTTAAAAGAAGGTCAGAGCTTCATTCATTATACAAAAATCCTATAAAGGAAACAAAATGGCGTATGTGTTCAACAACATTTCAAACTTTAATTTAATGAATGAGAAGTCAGTTCTTATTAATTATTAAAATCTTTGCACTAATTATCCTTTTGATAAAAGGCCAATACCTAAATTTTTTTTTTCTCGAACAAACTAAATCGATTCACGGAATGCTTTAGATGATCACCTTTAACAGTACAAGCTAACTTTATGGACTGTTTTATACCTTAAAGGGCTGCAAATGGCAAAATTTTAAGGTCTGATCTGGTTGGAAGTCAATAATTTCCCAGCCCGGCCTGTCCAAATTAATATCCGTGAGCTCGGCTCGATTCGAATTTTTAAATTCAGGTTACTCGACCCGGTTTTTTAAAATCCGGTAATATATCCTACGGAAATATAACCAATAACGATAAGGATGTAGGCCTCGCTATTTTTCTTATCATAGCAAACAAAAAAAAATCACATAGTAGGTCAATATTTAACAGAGTTGTTAAAGGACTATCTAGATCCTGTATCTAGATATAAAAATGTGGTATCTGTATCTGTATCTAGATAGATTTTTGATTAAATAATCTGTATCTAGATAATATTTTAGACGTTGTATCTGTATCTAGATCCATTTAAAAAGTATCTTTTAACAACTCTGATATTTAATCATTAAAATTATAAGCAAAATAAAATACTTTATTTTTAATAAAATTAGGTCATTAAGTGCACTTGACATTTATACTTTTCGCGTGCCCGCCGCGGTAATTTTTTGCCGACCCCAAATATATTTGATTTAAAGGTAGCCCGATTCATGCCGGGTACCGGGTCTGGCACTGCGTATCTCTAATACCTATCAATCATACCTATCAATCTCTTTTTATTCTATATATATAAACCTAAGGCCCTGAAGGATGCGAAGATAAAGTTGAAGGCCTACGATCTGAATGGACATTGCTTGGGCCTTTTCGATCTTTCCGCCATCTTGATGTGCCCTCTGCCGGATACTTATATCAGGGCATCTATCCTTTCGCTTAACCGTTATTCGCATATCAAAGTTTTGATCTTAAATACCTTTTACATTTTTGCAATTTTGCTTTAAGCAGAATTTAAGAAAATGGGCTAATAAAAATGGTTTCGGATATTTTTCAGAATTCGGTTTTGATTTCGGTTTTTACGTTTGAGCTCGTTATGAGCATTTCGGTTTCAACCAAATAAGGGCATATTCAAAGGATTATAGGTATTATTTTTCATTGTAATACTATTATGCAAGATGTCAATCAAAACCGTAAATCGTTGTGGGATTGGTTATTAATTTAATAATAATGTTTTCGCGATATTAAATTATTCAATAAATAATATATGTCATTATTGGGAATTATGTGTCTTTTTTTTTGATAAATAAAACAAGAAATGAAATTGATATCCTAAAAAAAATTGTCGTACTTTAATTCAAAGGAATGTAAAAGAATAAGGTTTAAGATGACTTGACAAAATGACAATTGAATGCGCCAAATTAATTTCCCCGCCAAAAATAGATATATATACAGTATTAATGTGATTTGTTGTAACACATTTTCATAATGTGAAAAAACATTCTTCAATAGCTAAATAACTTTCCATAATTATTGTAAAAAACATTTTGATATAAATTAAATTTTTTAAAAAAAATTTTAAAAAGTTTTTAAACTTCAAAGTTATGAATCGAATATAGTTTTTTTTTATGTTTTGGACATAAATTTAAGTGGAAAAATTAGAATTTTAAAAGATATTATACAAAAAAAAATTTTCTAAGATTTTTACAATACCTATTTTAAATTTAAAACATTATTTGTACTGTGAGTAAGGCATCTAAGGGAATTTGATGGGATAGGTGAATAACTTTGGTATCTATTTGTTATTTCAGATAACCTCCCGTGAGAATTAAAAGTTTCATTAGGTGTATCTAGAATTTTATATATAAGGTTAGTAAATAATAGAATATTATATTAACAAACCTGAAACTGGAGATAGATTCAAAATACTAGCGATAGTAAAATTTGACATTTAAAAAAATGGAAATATAGTTTTTATAGAAAAAAAAATTTATAAATTTATAAAATATAGAAGTTTAAAATTAAAATTGTCGCAAATTTAAGATAGAATTATTATAGGTTTTAATTTAAGTTAATTACCGGAAGTTTTTAAAAATATAATGTGTTTCTCAAAATTTTCTTTCAAGTTTTTAAAAAGTTTTTTTTAAAAAAGGATGTATTTTTCTCAACAAGTTTTTACAATAATTACGGAAAGTTAAATGAAGTGTCTTGGCTTCCGTTATGGGTAGAATGGTTGGTGGCACATCTCGATGATTTTTGGTATGAGTCATTTTAGGAAATTTTAAATTTTATTTAATTTTAAAACCAAAAAAATAAGAATTATCTGATTACCCTAAATTCGAATTTTTTTTCACTTATGTTTATTAAGAAATTATCAAATTTTTTATCCTGATTTCCATTCTTTAGATAACTAAAAGTAACATTAATATATGGTAATAATACTTTAAATTTAAAAAAATTTATAATGCATTTAAAAAAAAAATTATTCTAAAAATCTTAGAAAATTTTTATTCTCATTTTCCCACTTAAACTTGGGTCCAAAACATAAAAAAATTATATTCGATATATAACTTTGACGTAAATCTTCATTAAAGTTTAAAAACTCTTATTATTAAAAAAATTTTAAAAAAATTTTAAAAAATTATATCAAAAATTTTATCAAAATGTTTTTACAATAATTATGGAAAGTTATTTAACTATACAAGAATGTTTTTTCACATTATGAAAATGTGTTACAACAAATCATATTAATACTGTATATATATATATGACAAAAAATGACGTATAAAATTTTTTAAAAAAAATATATTTTTTTAGTGCTACATCGACAGTGGTAGATTGTGGAATATTCCCTATCCTGGCATCATATTTTTCGATCCGTGTAAGTATGAATTTTTTTAAAACTTGTCTCACGTGATCAGTCAATTCGCGCGTTGCCGCCAAGAAGGCTATTCGAAAAAATGAATACGAATGGAATAACGAATACTCGTATTCGGTATTTTTGAACGAATCGAATACGAATAGTAGATTGATCGATCCGTACGCTTTTATTCGAATAGCCCTAGTTGTCAGTAATAAAAATGAAAAGTTCACGATCTCGAAAAATATGAAATTTTATAGGTTAGGTATTCGGTATCGCGTCATTACAGAGAAAACATTTACAGAGAAAACATTTACAGAGAAAACAATTAAAGAGAATGTCGTTTAAAGAGAATTTTTTTATAGAGAATGTATTTTACAGAGAAATCAATTAAAGAGAATGTCGTTTAAAGAGAATTATTTAATAGAGAATGTATTTTACAGAGAAACTTTTACAGATAAAACAATTAAAGAGAATGTCGTTTAAAGAGAATTTTTTTATAGAGAATTATTTTATAGAGAATGTATTTTACAGAGAAACTTTTACAGAGAAAACAATTAAAGAGAATGTCGTTTAAAGAGAATTTTTTTATAGAGAATTATTTTATAGAGAATGTATTTTACAGAGAAAACAATTAAAGAGAATGTCGTTTAAAGAGAATGTCGTTTAAAGAGAATAATTTTATAGAGAAAACTATTATAGAGAATTTTTTATGTTTAAAGAGAATTATTTTATAGAGAAAACTATTATAGAGAATTTTTTATAAAGAATATGATTATTTTATAAAAAATTTGTGTAATTATTACAAGGAAAAAAATTTACAGTATTTGAAATAATATTAAATATTATAATTACCTTATATAATGTTGTAAAAGTTACTTTGGAAATGTAACTGTAATTAGTTAAGTTAGTAGCTAAATTTGGAGAAATATAACTAGTTACAGTTACTAGTTTTCTTTTTTTAAATATAACTAGTCACTACTATTTTTCATAAATAACTAGCGAAATTTTTATAGAGAAAACTATTAGAATTTCTCATATGATATTTTAAAATTGGTTAAAAAATTTAAAACGCTCTCAAAAATAATTATTGAGCTTTTGGTGTAATTTATCCGTGATTTACATAAACCTTAGATAATCTTAAAATGATGATAAATAAGAAATAAATGTTATATAGAGCGCTTTCTTATATTTTGTGAATGCCAAATTAGAGAATAGAATACCATTTGTATATGAAGTTATTATAAGATAAACCTAGATAAAATACCAAATAAGAGGTTAGCAATGTTCATTTCGAAATATCAAATAAATTTTTATTCATAATAAATCCAAATAAACATAGTATAAATAATATACCAATATAAAAAAATACAATTATATTATTAAATTAAACATTTAAATTTAAATTGTGGGATAAAGCCCTTAAATAATCCATCATGGTTCTTGAATGGAAATCTTCAACAATTAGAAGAATCCTTTTGGATCTTTCTCGATATTCTTTCTTTGACACTGGAGCTAATAGTCCTAAAGAATATTGTTCCAATTTGTAACTATTAAGGCTATCTTCGTCTTTGAGAGCTATAAATGAAAAGATTTTTAAAATTTAAAATACAATATAATTACTAACTCTTTATAAATTTCCAGATCGTTGGATGATGGGAACTTATATGAGATGAAAAACTCCGATGCCAGCCCTCTACAGAATTATTTGTATTCGGTTCACTAGCTAGTGTCGATTCATAACAATTTCATAGGGAAATACTAAATATTGGAGACCTCCTCTCCATCGCTATCATTTTCCCAATCCATGTCTCTTCAAAATATTCTATCAAGGGGGCGAGAATAGCCCTATTTTCTTGATAGAATATGGAGGCACATAATTCCTCAAATCCGTGAATTACGTCCTCAACTGGGACATATGCCAGTGACATTAGCATCTTTATATACATAGCAAAATTAGTTTCGCTTTTGTATGCATTGCAAATGCGGGAATTTTTCTGGACCGTGCGCCATATGCATTGCGACACATGGAACAGACACCCGCGCATTGCAGTCATTGGAAATGACTGTTTAAAAGCAGATAAGGCTGCTAATTCAAAATCAATCATAATAACTTTTGGATTTAAAAAATTTGGAAATTTTTAATTTGATTGAAAATATTAAGGTAATCTTGTTGGCGACGTGATGCCATCAGAACATAAATAGCGGGAATAATGGTTTTATGTTTCATCCCGTGGATGGTGTATATTTGCTGGAAGAGAGGGGGGCATGTTTTGAATGTGTCATCTGCATACCATTTATCGCATGTTGATAAAAATTGTAAATTTTTAATGGTAGAAAATATTATGCATCGGTGATCATGATGACCACTATCATAAAGTAAAATTGTTCATTATTATTGGATAATTGATATTCGATTGGTATCAAAATATTTTTATGGCATTAAAAGTGTTTATCAATTGAATACAATGTATGTTATGTTATTCTATATAAACGACATTCTCTATCATTGTTTTCTCTATAAAAGTTTCTCTATAATTGTTTATTTTGTAAATGTTTGTCACTAAAGATCATTTTAGAATATTTTAAGTAATAATTTAATTATTTTCTTTTTAAATTTTGATAAATTTTTTTTTAAATTATGGCTGAATTTATTTTAAGTAGTCGAAACAATCAGTTACTACTTCTTGATTTTTACTTATTTCAAAAGGAAAAAACATCTAACCAAACAACCTATTGGAGATGTATTCAATTCAATGTGGACGAATGCAGTGGACGTGCAAGAACTAAGAACGGAATCCCTATATTCCACAATCATAAACATAACCATGTACCAGACATTGCAGATGTTGAAGCAAGAAGAGAGCTAAGTAGAATTAAACAAGTGGCTTCTAGTTCCCAATCTCTGCCCAATAATATAATAGCCGATATATCTAGCAATATATCCATAGCCGCCACTGGGAAAATGCCCAGTTGTTCCTTAATTAAAAGGACAATTCGAAGGAAAAGACGCCAAGTAGGAAGAGCGCCTGCCGTTCCTGTAGGCCTGATTGACTTGGTCATACCAATGATATATCGGCTATTATATTATTGGGCAGAGATTGGGAACTAGAAGCCACTTGTTTAATTCTACTTAGCTCTCTTCTTGCTTCAATATCTGCAATGTCTGGTACATGGTTATGTTTATGATTGTGGAATATAGGGATTCCGTTCTTAGTTCTTGCTTGTCCACTGCATTCGTCCACATTGAATTGAATACATCTCCAATAAGATGTTTTTTCCTTTTGAAATAAGTAAAAATCAAGAAGTAGTAACTGATTGTTTCGACTACTTAAAATAAATTCAGCCATAATTTAAAAATAATTTATCAAAATTTAAAAAGAAAATAATTAAATTATTACTTAAAAAAATAATTAAATTATTACTTAAAATATTCTAAAATGGTCTTTAGTGACAAACATTTACAAAATAAACAATTATAGAGAAAACAATTACGGAGAAACTTTTATAGAGAAAACAATGATAGAGAATGTCGTTTATATAGAATAACATAACATAGATTGTTTTCAATTGATAAACACTTCTACTGCCATAAAAATATTTTGATAACCACATAGAGGTGTACGATTAAGGTTTGTCGCTTCTTGACAAATATCTTTTAACTAAAGAATAGATTATCCGTGTGTCACATCTATAATTTAAAATTTTTAACCTTCGAAAATTTTATTTAAACATGATATAAGATTATAAAACTTTCTGAAATTCAAAAATAGAGTTTTGCATTGTGTCAATGTTACTCTATTTTAATGCTACCAAATATAATGATGTAAAAAAATTAAATTTTATCTATTGGACCGATTTCTTTCAAAATTAGTATCTCTTTCTAAAAAACTCACTTTATTTCAAATGATGAACAAATTTAAGAAAGTTTAGCAAAAAGATAATTAAAATATTAATGTATTAAATAAATGATGGTAAATTGAGATGTAAGATTGGTCTTTTGTAAGTATTTCATACATATCGAAATATTTAATATTTATAATAAAAGTTAACACATAGTATCAGAAAAACAATATGCACACCCTAAGTAATAATTACACAAATTTATACAAAAATGTTATATATTATATAGATTAACATTTTTTATAATATAATCATATTCTTTAAATAAAATTTTATAAAAAATTCTCTATAAAATCATTCTCTGTAAAAACATTCTCTATAAAAAAATTCTCTTTAAACGACATTCTCTTTATGTTTCTCTGTAAAAGTTTCTCTGTAAAATACATTCTCTATAAAATAATTCTCTATAAAAAAATTCTCTTTAAACGACATTCTCTTTAATTGTTTTCTCTTTAAACGACATTCTCTTTAATTGTTTTCTCTGTAAAATACATTCTCTATAAAATAATTCTCTATAAAAAAATTCTCTATAAAATCATTCTCTATAAAATCATTCTCTGTAAAAACATTCTCTATAAAAAAATTCTCTTTAAACGACATTCTCTTTAATTGTTTTCTCTTTAAACGACATTCTCTTTAATTGTTTTCTCTGTAAAAGTTTCTCTGTAAAATACATTCTCTATAAAATAATTCTCTATAAAATCATTCTCTATAAAATCATTCTCTGTAAAAACATTCTCTATAAAAAAATTCTCTTTAAACGACATTCTCTTTAATTGTTTTCTCTTTAAACGACATTCTCTTTAATTGTTTTCTCTGTAAAAGTTTCTCTGTAAAATACATTCTCTATAAAATAATTCTCTATAAAAAAATTCTCTTTAAACGACATTCTCTTTAATTGTTTTCTCTTTAAACGACATTCTCTTTAATTGTTTTCTCTGTAAAATACATTCTCTATAAAATAATTCTCTATAAAATAATTCTCTATAAAAAAATTCTCTTTAAACGACATTCTCTTTAATTGTTTTCTCTTTAAACGACATTCTCTTTAATTGTTTTCTCTGTAAAATACATTCTCTATAAAATAATTCTCTTTAAACGACATTCTCTTTAATTGTTTTCTCTTTAAACGACATTCTCTTTAATTGTTTTCTCTGTAAAAGTTTCTCTGTAAAATACATTCTCTATAAAATAATTCTCTATAAAAAAATTCTCTTTAAACGACATTCTCTTTAATTGTTTTCTCTTTAAACGACATTCTCTTTAATTGTTTTCTCTGTAAAAGTTTCTTCTCTTTAATTGTTTTCTCTTTAAACGACATTCTCTTTAATTGTTTTCTCTGTAAAAGTTTCTCTGTAATTGTTTTCTCTGTAATGGTTTCTCTGTAATGGTTTCTCTGTAATGACGTGGAACCTAGGTATTCTACACGTATTAATCATTTATTTACCGCCATTTTTTTAAATTTAAATTATTTTTAACTTTTCGGGAAATGTATTTAGGCACGTGTAGAATATTTATTCTAAAGAATTCGAATCTTTTTTTTTCTAGGAAACCGATTCTAACCCCCCCCCTAACCACCCCTTCTCTCGTTCCTTTTCGAGAAAAAAAAAAGGTTGGGTTTCCCACTTTTGGTCAAAAATGATTGCTTAAATACTAACCTGGACTGACGATTCCTTTTTTAAATGGTACTTACATTGAAGCCAGCTGTAGTTAATGTCATTGGCTCTGGTAGATAGTGTTGTAAACGGCTCGTTTTGAGCCGATTTTTTAAAAACGGCTAACTCAATATTTAAGCTAGAAAAATATTGAGAAACCCTCTAGATTTCAATAATTATGTCTAGACCTTTATTCCTTCTATGAGCAAAATCTTCAGGTTTGTGTAATATTTTTCTGCACGAAGCTCAAAACGAGCCGTTTAACAACACTACTAATGGTAGACTTTCATGTTTGGGCTAAAATTAATCTAGTTTATTTACGTCGTTGGCTTTGGCTCTTAGATTGGAGGAACCAGTTGTAGGTTTCAGTACCGGTCGTAAACTCGGTGAGTAAGTTATAAAAAGCCGGTTCCGATTGCTAGTTCCGGTTTTTAGACTCGACCCGGTTTCGCGTTCCAAACTACGAATATAATATTTATACTCAAAAAAAACAGACATATCGATGAAGGACTCTCCGGGGACACTAATTCCTATTCCGCTGTACATCTTTAGCGATTCCAAAAGGGACGTTGAATCAGAATCAATCCCTTCTTCCTTTTTCCCCGTCTATACATCCTCCAAGAATATCATGCGCGAATTTATGGCCTCTGGTAATTATATATGACAGGATTATTTTTAAGCCCGACATAACGTTTTAGAAATGGATAGCAGTCATTTTTATGTCAAATATGTGTAGAAATGAATCTTATATAAAAATTAAGGATAAATTTGATGCCGAATAATAATAGTGCGCACGAATTGAGCGTTTACGTTTTGCCGATATTTTTAAATAAGAAATAAACGTAACTGTCTTTTTTTTATTAATATCCGTCAAATTCAAATTTTTAAATAAGTTCTAAAAAATTCAAAAATTATAATTATCGTCTGCGTTCTTATTTTCTTTAATTTTCTAAAATATTCCCTTTTTTTAGGATTATAAGTAAGTTTATTTTATATTACATTTTTATATAATATTACAAAATGAAAAAGCAAACCTATTTCCGTTTTTTTTTGAAAAATGGTTGCTAACGCCAAACGGTAATTTTACCAATTTGCGCGAGGCCATTTTGAAATGCATTATTTGCCGCTTGCAACGCAGCGTTTTTTGAAACGCTCAATTTGTGCGCACTATAAAGCTTTATAAAATTCGAACTTTAGTAAATTTATTTAAAAAAAATAAAAAATTAAATAGAGTAATTTTTAGAATTAAATTCTTGTAAATATAAGAATTTTTTAAATATTCTAATTTAAGAATTTAAAATATCGGAATTAATATAAATCTATTCAAAACTTTTACTACGTCCAATATGTAACCAATCAACTTTCATAAAAATTTTGTCCATTATGTTTTCTCAATTTAATGTGTTTATTTTTTTTTTTCAAATTTAAAATCATTTTTGAACGCGTTTCTACATTTTTTTTTCTTTACTAGAAATGAGTTCAGCATGTTTAGAAATACCTAACCCTATGAATTTTTAAAAAAAATTGCCATTAACTTATGAGTAGATTACGTTTTCTGGAATGTATTTCCGGGAAAACGCGCTAAAAAAACGATTTAAAGTCTGAAAAATTAACACGTTCAACTGAAGAAAAAAACAGATTGGCCCTGCATTCAGCGCCAATTCGGCTACGAAGAGTTTAAAAAAAAAGGTAAAATTATTTGTAATTTAATTTTTTTGTCATTACGCATCTTCCCCTGCCCAAGATGACATGAAAGGAATGCTGTCCGAACGTTCCTTTTATCGCCGTTTTTTCGTTGCCGAAAACGTGGCATCCCCGGGATTGTTCGACGTTTCCAATACTGTCGATCAAGTCTTCCCAACGTTTACTCATCCCGTTAATTCCACCCATCCATCTTCCGGGAACGTAGTCGATTTGTTGTTCAATCGCCCCCAAAATCCGCAACTCGCGATCAAATCCATGCCATCTTTCGTTCAGTACGCCAAAAGGGTCGACGTTTTGTGAGTATTAATAATTACCATTAAAAACAGCTGACCTGTCAATATTATCCACTGAACCTTCTGGAGCATTTTGAACGAATTCTTGTTTTTCAAAATTTGCGTGCCAGTTTATAGCGCGTAAAATTTCATCTTTTAAAATTCGTTGTATGTTTGTTTCATCCCAAATTATTTTTGACTTAACACCCTCGTAATTTTTGCTAGGTATTTGATTTTCCTATATGATTTAATTTGAAATTCCTCGGTTCCTTGTGCAATGAAGCATTGATGTTCTCGAACGATACTTTACCTTAGAATCAGAGATAATGCTGTAACCACATTTGGCAGTACGTAGCTCAAGCTATTATCCGAATTTAGTTTTTTTTTTAAAAAAAAACGATGTAACATTAATTATGACTTTCCTAATTTGTTTAAATATAGTTTTGTTTTACTAATGGATTAAAGCCAGCATATTTTCTTTTTATTCCATTCTTGTGCTAGAGATTAAATTTTTTAAAAAATATATTTAAGTCTAACTTTTTTTAAATACAGATTTAATTAAAAATTTAGGAGAGTCGATAAATATTTTTTAATTTTAAATTCAAATAGTTTTTAAAAGTATAAAATATATAAAAATTAATGTTATCAATATATTCTGTAAACGTGGAAGAAAAAAAAAGTATAGTTTGTTTCTTTAAATGACAACAGCCGCAATAAACCCCCCCCACCTTTACGGGCGAATATATATCTATTTTTTTTTAATTATTAGAATATTGAATAACGTTTTTTTTCCCAACATCAATTTTAAAATTTAACTTTATATAGATTTATTTAACGAACATATTATAACAAATTTTGATAAAATTTAAGCTCCGGTAAAGATATTAAAAATTCAACATTCCTTTCTGGACTTTTTATAAAGAAATTATATTATTTTTAAGAGAAAGGGTTTCAATTGTTATCTAATGATACCAAATATAGGTCTCTATCATTTATATATATTGAAGAAATCCTTATTTTTATCTATTTTTTCATATTAGGATACTATTTTTTTTAGCTTTAATACCCCATATATCCGTGCGGAACTAATTAAGTTGGAGCTTAAGTACAACATATATAATCATCATGCAAAGTTTCATTCGATTTGGAAAAGGATCCACGAAACTTAATCCATTTCACGTGGAATGATCCCTAAACTCATCATTTTTCGATCACCATTCATTAGCTATCTATTTATTAATTATTCTTTTTATTCTTTCATCTACCATATGTAGAATCAATAGCAAAGGGATACCTAACATCATAATGTTAATCCAATACGAAAGATTAGATTCTAAAACGTACTTCAATCCCACTCCCAATATCGCTGGTTCTGGAAGGCATGTCGAAGTATTAAAAAATAAAATCAAGAAAATATTGACTCTAAATATTTGATTGGTTGCGCAAAATGTATAGCCAAGATTATTTATTAAACTGAAAAATATATAAATTTATACCCTCAAAAAAATCAGACGATTCTCAACATAGACCACGTGGGCCGCCCTCACTCGCGCATGCTCGGTCGTACTAACCTCATCATCTTGGCCGTGGTTGGTTGGATTTGCTTCGCGCATTCGTGCTTGCGCGTCTGGCTTTGGGTCAGGCAGGCCGATGCTCGTAAGCAGACGCTCGATTTGGATTTGTTGATCAAATTCTTTTTTCACTTTTGTGGGCCATTCGCGCTTCTGATTTTCGCCACCGTGTCTACGTTATCTCTGATCGTGTCCATCCGATATAAGGTAAAATAAACATATGGGACGATTTAATGAAATCACCCAGAATTCAGTTGATTTATTAGAATCTATTCTTATTGAAATTAATGATGACCTATATATAATTACCAACAAAGCTTCTAACGAATAAGGCAATTATTCAATTTTTATAACTTACCCATTTTTAAAATCTTCTTATTTCATGGATAACGTTATTTAGATCCACAAGGAAAATATGAACTATCCTTTGCCCACAAGGTTTCAAGAAAGACCATTCGTTTTGTGCATCATCGTTGCCTTATCATTTTTGGTTTTATTTTTTCTTATTAAATACATATTATCTTCTGCTTTCTTTTTTTGATTTTTGAAAAATTTAAACTTAAAACAAAAAAAAATTATTGAAGGCCATTCATTTGTTGTACCATTTATCCCGGCAAACTAATTACGAATTGTTTTTTATCGATTGGGAGAATATTAACTTCATGAATCCCAACACCTATCCAAACGATAAAAAGGAAGAAGAGGAATTATCGTCTGCTCACCATGGTAAAAGCAGACGAAAGCATAAAAAAAACAAACACGCGGAGCGAGAAGAGGAAACGACTTTTAATCACGAGATATACCCCCCTCCAGAAAGGATGTACGCTGGTCAGAACGAGTTATTTAACGCGCCGACTGGTTCGGTACCCTTTTGGCCTCCCTATTTTATGTCGCCTCATTTCAATAACGCGCCCGGTCAACCTAATTATCCCAACTATCCCCTTCCTAATAACGGCTTCATCGATCCTTCTTCAAATTTTTCTCCCTTTCCTTATCCTTACAATCTATATAACCCCTCCCCTCAGAATAACATGAATATCGCAAGTCACAGAGATTATCAAAACACTGATTCAACTAAGGATCATAATAAATACTCCCGGAAAAATCGTAATAATAATAACAATTATTTTGTCGATAATCCAGGGTACGAAAATTCTGAACCGGAAATAGGGGTATCTCCTCAAGCGGACGATAATGTCAATAATAACAATAGTAATGATCACAAAGCGGACGATACTACCCGAAGCAGACGATCGAAGGGGCACGACCACCGAGATAAGAAAAGCAAACGGAAACACGTTTCCTCGAATTCTCCCACATCTCTACCAAAACACCATCACGATACGAAAGATGGAAAAATCAAAACAGAATTCGAAATGGTGGCCAATAAAAATTTCGATCCTAAAATGAATAACGGGATTGGCTACGAAAAGTATAGTAACAACATTAACACGGGTAGCGCTAGCAGGATCATGCGTTGCATCGAATATTGGTGCAAGATTCAGACTTTCAGGAATATTCCTAACAGGAAGGTTCTCTTTACCGGACTCTTGATCATTCAGGTTTGATAAAATAAATCTTCTATCTTTTTTAATGATGCTATAAATGAAATTTTGAATTTAAATTTGGGATATAATATTAGAAAATAATCTTTTTGCGAAACAATAATGAATTATAAATAAATAAACAACATGACCAATTAGCTGATTGAATATAACAAATTCGCGCGTTGCTATACCGGAAATGATCCTCCTGGGATAGATGTGTACACGGACGGCAACGCAACCTTGACATGCCTGCCCGTGAGTGGCCTTCTCAGATTCGCAATTTTATCCGTCGTTTTTGTGGTCCTGGCATTTCTCACATGCGTATGTCGTCAATTCTTCTTGTTTTTGGTAATTCCTATCTTAAAATTGAAACATAAATGATGCGTTTTTTTCTTCGAAATTTGTATATATATATATAATAGGGAAATAATTTGCTATAAAACTATAGTTTAATTATCCAAGGATGGAAATGCAGTTGAACGACAAATCCTTTCTTTAAAATCGTCCTTAATAAAACGTAATTTTTGCCCAGTAAATTTGAATAATTCTCTAAAGTGCCAAGGATTTAAATAAGCCAGGAATATCAGAATTTTATTGGAATCGATGCGTGGTTTTTTTAAAAAATGATTCGCATATGTCAATTTTGCTATTTTCGACCTTGAGAAAGAAGTCGCGAGAAAATGATTTATTTAAAAAACAATCTACACCCGTTTAGTCTTAAGAAAAGAAGCTAAGGCTCACCCCTTGCTCTGGACTCAAACCTGTGTAAATCATTTCGTAAAATCATTTCCCTTACCCTCTCTTTCTAGGGTTGAATAGCCGCAAAATCTAACAAATGCAATCATTTTAAACAACCTCACATTCATTCCGTACCAGGTAATCCTGGATCATTTGGCCCCAAGCCCCTTCAAATTAATAAAATCTATCGGGCTAACGAAGGATTCTTTCTGCGACAACGAATTTTTTAATCTCTGAAGATTCATGGCTCAAAATGGCGTTTCCATCCACGGATCATTGATCTCAAGTGGTTTAACTCTAAAATTTTAGCCATTGTTTTCCTAGACATAATGCCTAGTTACTTATTAGTATTCGTCGAATAAAGATGAAAATCAATTTATTATTCGTATCAAAAATCTCATCGAATATTAAAAAATCAAAACCCGGTTCGGTCCGGTTTTTTTGAAAATTTCAGGCCCGACCCGGTGCGGGTAAATTTTAAAAAAATTAAAATACGGGCCGGGCTTAGGGCCGGGCCTGCAGCTCTCTAATAAAAATAATAAATATCTCATTTTATATTTTAATTATCCCCTTTCTCATTCCTAATAAGTTTAATCGGCTAAAACTCTTGAACAAAAGCCAAAGTCGGCTGGGAATATTCCCCAAATTGATCACCCTGTGTCAAACCAACAACGTTTCCTTGTTGGTCTTGAAGGAAAAAAATTACGCCGTTTATCTTCATTGCGTCAACGGGTTTGGAACGGGAAATTTGACGCTCGAGGAATTCATTTTTCGACAAAGATATAGCAAGGTTTCGTTTTTTCGTGTTTTTCAAAAATTATATTTTAAATATTGATTTTATATATTTAAATTTACGATTTTGCAATCGTCATCCCAGCAGTGTGCGGAGTGAACTATCCGAAATGTCAAAAAATTTGGGATAATGCCAGTACGGGCCCGTCAAAAAAATTTTCGGACCTTGCCGGATGTTCGCTTTTTTTAAGGATTAAGTATAAGTCGGACCCGATTTTTACAACTAAATTCTCCAAATCGCCCACCAAAAAATATGGTTATAAAGGGTTCGCGATAATGTACGCGCTCTAAAGCGTTTCCGGTTCCGGCCCTCGAATTCCGCTTATAACATCTTTTTAATTCCCTGCGAAAAATATGAGATAGGGCGCCAAATACATGACATATTTTTTTCTCGCTACTTTATTTTTATATGCCAGAAGTATCGCGTATAAATTTGTATCTCGATGGGTGTAGAATAGTTCTCTTTCCAAATTGAATCGATTTTTTGTTTTAAAGGGAGTTTGGAACAGCTATCCTCGATATTATAAACTAAATTGTAATGAATAAAGTGCAATAAAATTGGGTGGTCTTTTTCTTTTATCGAATATATCATCGATCATGCACAACAGGTGACTTCTCATTCCTTTTTTCGAATAAAAGATGATATGGTATATTCAACTACTTAACTAATCTAATTAAAATAGAATTCTTACGGCCCTCCTAAAAATGTTCTTTTCGAACCTGTATAATATCAATTTTTTAAAACTGATTAGCTTATTTAAAGTTATATACTCGTTAAGGTCGAAAATGATAGGCAAAATGCTTTTACCGTAATGAGTTGTATAAATTATTTTTAAAATGAAGCAACTCGCGGATTCTGGTATGGGGGCCAATAATTTTTCGCCTTATTCTCCTTCCGATCAGGATAGTAAAGCTCTTGGAGGCGGTCCAGAAACGCAGCCGCCTTCCCTGATGAATGGCAAGTGCTACGAGATTAGTCTTAATCCTTCCACCAGCAACCTCCTAAATCAATCCATTTTGGCCATTCAACAAGTTTTTTTCGTTCATTTTAAGAAATTTAAATGTTTATTTAATATATAAATAATGAAAATAACTGTTTGATATAATTCGATATCGTAATACTCTCCACCACAACGGCAATTTATCAATAATATATTTATCACGTGATTAACCACTGCACATGTGATTTAAAAAAAATTTTTTATTATCAAAGTTCTACCAATAGTATTAATTTTTGTCGTAATAGGATATTCACTTAAAATAAATTTAGTTGTTTTGTGTTATTGTTGTCATGTAATACTTTATATTACCTCGGGGTTAATGTGTTTTCTTTCATGAAAGCATACATAATTATTTTTTACAAAAATATTATTGATATATATCCTCTTAAGATATTTTATATAAAAATCTATTAACTCAAAAATACAACATTCTTCCCCTTCTTTAGGAACAAAAACCCGGGGCAAAGTGATGCATTTTCGCGCTTAACTATAAAAAAAGAAATTAATCGGCGTACAAAAATTCAATACATGACTCACATACAATTCAAGAATTATATTTATATTACTCTTTTTTTTCTGCATCGTTTCATAAACGTTCTCTGTTCCTCAATAATAGCCGTTACAGCATTGTTATACAGTTGGGCCAGAACGTACGTCAATTACATAGTTGATGTTCCCTTGATATCTAATCTTTCACCTTACTTTACTTTGGCGGTATATGAAAGCTCGTATCTCTGGTTTGTCGTCTCGATATTGTATCGTTCAGCTTTGACGTTATCGGACATACGGTATTCGGGGTCGTACGGCTATTTGATTATTGATTACACGATTATTTACATCCGTTGTACCGGTCGTTGATTATCGGTAAGATTTGGGTATCTTGCCGAGTATTGTAAGATATGAATCGATATCTACAGTTCCTTATTAACCACGAACTTTTATTTTTCGATCCAAGAGAAAGTTTATGAAACGATGCGGAAAAAAATAAATATCGAATTATGTGCGAGTCAGTTATGTATTGAATTTTTACACGCCGATTGATATCTTTTTAGATTTACGCGACAAAATGTATCACTTGTCCCGGGTTTTTGTTCCCTTAAGAAGGGGAAGCTTGTTGTTAAATATTATATTTTTTTCTTTATTAATGGATTTTGTGTACAATGTTTTCAAGGATATATTTATATATACATATAAACGTATATGAAAAAGAAGAAAATTTATATTATTAAAATTTTCGCGGAAAAAAATCTTTAAAAATACTGAATTTGTAGTGGCATTTCACGATAATTAAGAAAACATAATTAACCCCCGTAATAATATAAAATAAGATTAGTATGCTAGCACACAAAAGTCTAAAACTCCACCCCGTATTTCTGTCGGTATCTTGAGCCGTTTACGAACGCGCCCAAATATCGGTCCAAAAAACGGGTCAGGTAGGCCGGTCTTGTTCCCGGAAATACTAAATCTTTCCGCCAAATCCTTTTATGTGATACATTAAATCGCGTATTACGAACCGAAAAAGGTCGACGGGGACCTACAAACCGTTAAACGCGTTACGGAACGTCAATTTTAATTGTTATCAGACTACTTCCTAATCTGTTTTTTTAAAAATTTAGTATTGGATATATTACATGAAAATTTAGGGATTATTATTTATCTTTAAAAAAAAATCTGAATTTTTTTTTTTAAATTTACGTCGCAGCCGTTGATTAACCAATTTTTAACGATCGCCAAACCAGGTAAATTTGTTAAATAGTTTATTCGTTGTTTGTGTTGTGATGATTAGTTTATGTAGAGTCGCGTAAAACAAAAAAATAAAATAATTCAAAGTTGACACTATTTGCTAAGAAGCTATTCTAAAAAAAAATTGAGGTCGCAACTCAAAACATATGCTTTACTTTATAACCCCCCCCCCCCCCTCACTGTAGCTTTCTCTTTTTCCACCTGAAGAAATCTGTAGAAACAAATAACTCCTCCCTCCCCCTAAGGTTATCTTCATGGGAAAAATAATTTTGACATTTCTTAACCAACAAAAGTCCCAATAGACCCTTTGTTTCTTTAAAAATGAATATGGAGGAAGTTTAATTTCTAACTGAAACTTTTACTTCGGGCATAATTTATAGGTTTTTTGGGCTGAAAGTGCTTAACTGACCTTTGCTAATTCCTTCTCAAGATCTAGCGTGGTGGTAGTGGATCGAGCGAGGGAATGGGGAAATCATGTTTTTACGATTGGCCTTTTCCTTATATTAGTAAAGAGGACATGTGGTAAGTAATATAATGGACTTGTCGGGGAAATTCTTATTTCAATTTCGAGATGTGAAAACGTTCCGTAAGGAGAAGATAAAATAATAGTTATTTAAAATCAATCCTCACTCACAACTCATAAAATTTACCAACCAAATATAAGTCAGTATAAATATTTTTTGGTATCACTTGTATATATTCATTTTGCGCATCTTTTAAAAAAATAAACCGTATTATTTTAAATTTAAGCCTTCTTTTTTTGCGTCCATAAACCGCTAATTATTCTAAGACCCACTATTTTAATGGGTTTTAGGGCGCTGCATTTAAACATCTCATAAAAAAATTTACTATGGTAAGATGTGGGCTAGGGTTAGTGTCTGTAATGAATCAGGCGTCTACTAGAGTTATATTTAAATATACGAGCCGCCATTTTAATAACATCACGTGTCCCTTCATTTTTTTAAAAACTTTTCCTTTAAATTTTAAATATTCTCGAATTCAGTATTTACTATCCTGCTACCGCCATGTATTAGAAATATTGCATCTCAATTTAATTGCATGCTTTTCGAAAATATGTCAGTTATCTAGGCTGACCATTTAACGTTTAGATTGATTAATTAACTTTTTTCATGATGTGAATATTTACGATAGGAACGACGAATGACATGCTGGATAAAAGGATCATGGCCTATCAATACACCAACAGTCTCCTGATCGATTTCCTCAGCAAAAACTTTTTCCACTATATGCCCTACCAAATAGTTTATAAGACGATAATCGAGAAGGTGTTGAACATCGAGATGAACCTACCTTTGCACATGTCCTACTTATATCCACGTAAATAATATTTTTTTATTAATGCCGGACACAGTGCAGGACATTTTATTTTTTTCGGGGATATATTTGCTAACCCACCCTCAACCCCTCCTTAACCGAAGAAATTTCTAGCTACGCGCCTGGGTACATTGTCATAATAACATTTTGTCTCATTTATCTGACTTTGATGCATATTGTCTTTAGGCAATTATAATAACATTATTTCTTTTTTATTTTCTCGCACAATCAATGTATAGGAAGTTCCTAGAATTTGAATTTATTTTGTAATTAGGTTTCTGGAGTATCGGAAGATTCAAGCCTTCCTCTTCCCCACTTTTGAAATATAGTTTTAATTAAAATTAAAAAGAAAATGGAAAAAAAAATAATTTTTTAGGAAACATGTAAATTTAAATATATTCAATATGGCTGCGCTCTAACTATAGCATTTTAGCGATTCTTCGATATTTACATTTTAAAAAATCGTTTCATTTTTTTCAAGCGTTTTCGCATTATAAATTATTGCACGACGAAAATCGCAAAAGTAATTTCAAAATCGTTTTTTTGAGCGATAATTTAATGACGTCACATATGACACATAATTCGCTCATACGTTCAATCACTAGAACGCGCGCGGCTAATTTTTTTTTTAAAATTGTTGAGGAAATACGTATATTTGCACATGCGTATAAGATACTTCAATTTTTAAATGTTGAGTATATCCCTATTTCGTCACTAAACGCTTAAAACTCAAATATTTTAGCCAGAAAAAAAAATATTGCTTAAGCCTTAAGATCTTCTTTTTTTCTAATAAAATGTCCAAATCTTTGTGCCAGAACAAAAATCTTCAGGTTCGCATAATATATTTTTTTCCTTGGATGAATTACTGAGTTAGCCATTTTTAAAAAATCGGCTAGAAGGTAGCCATTTTGCATCACCAAACATTATTGTAATTTTTACGGGCGAAACAAAATCTGGAAATTTATCTCGACAGTTTTTTTATATTTATTAAATTTTTCGCTCGCTTTTAGATACCTTTTTAAGTCCTATAAAACGACTCCTCTTGGTTGACAACGAGGTTTATCTATTGGTATTCGAAATATTGGTTATAGCTAGCATCGATTACGTTACCCGCGGAAATTTTATGGTTTTAGCGGTGTTTGTGGCCTGTTTCATCGATTGGGTTTATTATTATTTTTTTTTTGGATTTATTTATTAATTTAAAAGATGGATTATAATTTTTATAATTGAGTTCCAAAAAAGGAACCATTAAAGTCGAATTTATTAATCAGAACTTTAAAACCTTGTCTCAAGAAAAAAAATCTGCTTCAATGTGGTTCTTGTCTCACAGTTCCTTGAGGAGTGGTTTTCGGTTGTTAAAATTTCACCCCTGTTTTCTAGTATTCCGTTTTCCAAACTGTTAAAGAAAATAAAAAAATAAATAATTGAAATAATCCCTCTTAACAAAAATCAATTCACGCAACCAACATTTTAAAACAGAAACCAGATTTTGAGAATGCTCTTCAAAAATCTTTGAAGATTTTTTTAAAATGAAGATTATTTTTTTTTTGAGAAAGCTCAAATAGGAATAAAAAAAATCGATTTTATGATCCTTTAAAATGGGTTCTGGTTTTGGTTCCCGTAAGTATTAACCCGTATCATAGTGGGATCCCCGATCTTACAAGATTTAACAGCTGATCGATTTTTAAATTTTTTTAAAATATAGATCAGCTGTTAAATTGTATTAGATCATATCCCACTGTGATTGTGACCACTTAAGCCTATTCCAAAGTTATTTTTCTCCTATTTTAAATTTGAAAATTCTCTCTACTTATATTATTGTAGTTTAAGGTTTATGTTCATGTTATAAGAAAGTTATTAATCTTAATCTTTCGCGGAATTAGGTTATGAATTCCAAGACTCAGAGTATGATACTCGAACGGATATTGAACTCAGTGTTAGACGGTATTTCTACCATTCGGTCGATGCACTTTTTTGGGTTAAACCACGATAAAATTTAATATTTACCTACTATCAAACTTTTTAATGCGATCATAAAAAAACACTAGTGTGGGGTCTGACAGACAAATAAAAATAAACATATTCAAGTAATATTCATTTTAATATGTCTGGGAACTTTGCGGAGTGACTTGGCTTAGAGTACTGGATAAAGGATCAACTTGGGGTATCTCATATGCTAAGTTAGAAACTAGAACCCCTCTTTTTAAAATTTGAAGAAATATCGGGACTTATTTTGATTTTTTGAGGAGATTTAATGTTATAGGTTAGATATTAGAATTTTTTAAAAAAAATGTAGTAAATAATGGTAGATATCTAAAAAAAAATTTGTAGTATACTCAATGACATATAATAATAATACTTAGCCTGACGATGCATTTGTAATAATGCATTTGAAAACGTCGTTGAATGCAAATCAGCTGGACCCGCCATTTTGGCACATAAAGTAATTATTCTCATGTTAAAAACTACTATTAAATTGATAACTTGCTTCCTTATTATCTCGATGGCTAGGCAATCCTTTAATAAAGTTCGCATCGGACTTAGGAATGGCCCTCTCGTTTAAAATTTTTAAAATGGCGTCCCCAGCTGTTTTTATGTACACTTTTAATGAACGCATCGTCAGTCTAGGTATTATTATACGTCATTTGAGTCTACTAGTCAATCTGATAGGACTGTCAACTTGATCGGTATCCATTTTTTCTTCTAACACATTTTTTTATTTATAAAATGATATGTTCAAAATATCATTGATAATTTTAACAAATAATTTGATTTGAAGAAGAAAAAAAACAAATATCTTTCTTTTTTCTTCTTTACAAATTTATAAAAATAAATGAATCACCCGATTAAAAAAATCCATGTAATGATGTTAAAAAATAGTTTCTACAAGTATTAACTAGTTTTGTTAAATGGCTGAGCCAAGCCGGCTTAGCCGAAAACTCAGCCAGATTTTGAGCCAAAATATCGGCTCAGACTCAAGCCGGCTCATCGATGGCTCAAGCCGATTCAAGGCTAATCCGGCTAGCCGTTTAACAACGCTAACAAATAAATAAATTTCGAATCAAGTTATGAGCCCACTCGAGCTAAATTTGACTCAAAAAGCCGGCCTGAGTCAATTTTAGACTCGAAAACTAGATGAGTTTTCAGCCGTTTACCGACACAAATCTTAAATAAATTTCGGCTTGAGCCAAAATGAAGATCATAATAATTAAAAAAAGGTCTACGACACACTTATTTCATCGGTATGGCAAACTTTTGTTTTTTTTTTCTACCGAAGTATCAATATGATATTGCACGAAGTATATTAAAGATCTGCAAGAGTAGGCCCGGCCCGTACCTGGTCCGAACGGGCTTCGGGCCTATATTTTTAAAAAAAATTCGGGCCGGGCCGGGTCGAGCTTAGGCCTGATAAATTTTTTTATCTAAATTTATCAATTTTATGTAAAAAAATTTTATTTCGATTTTATTTATTTTGAGATTATACTTAAAAATCTAGAACACTTTTGAGATTATCTTAAAAATCTTTTATTTTTCAAAAACTAAAATCTAACAATCAATCAATAAAAAAAAAAATATATTAATACATTAAAAAAAATCAATATTATTTTCTTTTAAATTAATAACAATAATAATAATATGCATATACCTAGAACAATTTATAGAAACTAGACGCCATATAACATATTTATCGTTTATTTATAATTATTTATAATAAATCGGGCCTTAGCCGGTAAATTTTTTTCGAGTTCGTGCCGGGTCGGCAAAATTTATTAAAAAAATTTCGGGCCGGATCGGTTTCAAAAATAAGCCCCGATGCAGATCACTAAACTATTTTGTAATTCCTGACGATATTAAATGTTTATTTTGACAAAACTCATTCACAAGTTTAATCATACATAAGGTATCCATTTAAAAAAATGTTATTATTTATTTTAAAAAAATATAAATAACATATAAAAAAAATAATACATCACCCGAGACGAGAGTGTGGTACCATCCGAAAATTTTAAATCATTAATTGTATTTGTTTGAAAATTTACTTTTTTACAAAGTTAGATTTTTTATATTTTTTTATAATATAATAAATATTAAATTTTTTATAATCATTATTTAATATTTTGCTTATAAAATAAAATCCACGCTTTTTTTTAGTTTATGTAAAAAAAAAGTAAATAAATTAAAATAATTTATTTTTTTAGGAGAGGAACGACGGACGGTACTGATTATACAAATAATTTTATTTTTAAATTAAAAATTATGGATTATTCATTTGACGAATTGCTCACAGTCTCTGTAAATTACAGGGATAGACAATTAACAATAATGAAAATTATCATGGATTTAAAGATTAACCTTATTTAAAAAATGTATGTTTAATTATTATTTTAAATGATATATTCTGAAAGATTAGTAATATTTCGTGACAATTTATACCATCCCTTATCTAAAATTTAGCTATAAAAGTTTAATTATTTTTATAGATCACTAAAAAATGACGCTATAATTTTTTGTATTTTAAATAACTATAAAAACTTAAACGAAAGATGGCGCTAATAGTTTTCAAAAAAAATTTTTTAAACACCTCAAAAAATTGATTTTATAAAAATGGTTTGGAATAGTATAACCAGTATTGCAAAAACCATTTTAAATCGTTTGAAACTCATAATGCCAATTATCCTAAACTCTACAAGTACAAAAGGTATATTTCAAACAAGATTAAAGATAATAAATTTTCGAGTAAGAGGATTTTTAGGCCCGGAGTTTTAATTTTTTTACTAAGGTTGCCTAGCTCGTTTTTTATTTTTAAATTACAAGGCCCTAAACCAAAATATGCGTTGTTGAACACCAAAAACAAACAACTATTTATAAACCTTGTGAGTGGCTTTAAATTAAAAACACTATACTTTATGAATTATCACCTATATGAAATATCAGAGATTCATCAAATATATATATATATATGCGAAAGAAAATTTTGTCCGACCTGACCCGTATCTTTTTTGCCCGGTTTGTTTGGCCCCCAAATTTTTTTCAGACGTTACACTATTTGTAGTGCATTTTCTTTAGAACACAATAGAGCGCTGCACGTCTTGAAAGCGTAAAAAAAAATTTAAATTCCCCACTGGACTCGGGAATTGAAAGGATTTTAAAAAAATAAAATAGGAAATTTACTTTTATACATTTTTGGGGGATTAGGACAAAACAATTATTAAAGGTTTGCGGAAAAAAGATTGGATTTTGGGCTGGCCTGTAAGATTATTTTAGTTTGATCCCAGGCTTTTGTATATTATATTTAAAAAATTTTTTTTACTTAATTAATGAATTTTAGATCATTTGCGAATTCCTGCATTTAGCCTGCAAAAGGAGCATATGTGCCAAAACACTAATAGATTTTGATCTCGTCTAAAAGCCTAGATATTTTTGTTTGGTAGCCAGCCAATCATCATTATCAAATATAAATTGTGTAGTATTTAATATTTTGTTAAATTTTACATTTTGTCCGTCCAAAATATGATATTATTATTTTTACCTATATTCAGTGTACTGAAACCTTTTTTTTTAAATATATAATGTCATTATTTTATATTATGTCATCTTATTTATAAATAATCATTCTAATAATTTATTATAGATACTTTTTATAATATCTTATCTTAATTTTTTTTTATAGCTGTAAAACTTTATTATTCCATTCTTTCAAGAGTAAATTTTGCTAAAACTAATAGCCATTATTTTATATCATATTTTTTTTTCTTTTGTTCGATTCGATTACCAGTTAGGAAAATATTTTTGTGAAATCATCCCTCTTTTGGACTATTAAAATAGTTTCTAGAGATACTGATTAAGATAGATGAATATTAAAGATAATCGCGCAGGGTTAGGGAGTTAGATGCTAATTTAAGATAATGGGTTTAGATTAGATACAAAGATAATGGCTGATGTTTAGATGTTAGTTGCATATTTAAGATAATGGGTTAGGGTTAGATACATATTAAAGGTATTGGTTCAGGGATAGATTGTTGGATGCATATTTAAGATAATGGTTTAGGGGTTTGGACGCATTATAAGATAATTGTTCAGGATTAAGGTGTTAGATGCATTTTTAGATAATGGGTTTGGATTAGATACACATTAAAGATAATGGCTCATGGTTAGAGGGTTAGATGCATATTTAAGATAATAAGTTAGGGTTAGATACATATTAGAGATAATGGCTCATGGTAGATGCATATTTAAGATAATAAGTTAGGGTTAGATACATATTAAAGATAATGGCTCATGGTTAGAGGGTTAGATGCATATTTAAGATAATAAGTTAGGGTTAGATACATATTAGAGATAATGGCTGATGGTTAGATGTTAGATGCATATTTAAGATAATAAGTTAGTGTTAGATACATATTAAAGATAATGGCTCATGGTTAGAGGGTTAGATGCATATTAAGATAATAAGTTAGGGTTAGATGCATATTAAGATAATAAGTTAGGGTTAGATGCATATTAAGATAATAAGTTAGGGTTAGATACATATTAAAGATAATCGCTCAGGGATAGGGAGTTAGATGCTTATATATGATAATGGCTAGGGTTAAGATTAGACGTATATTTACTAATGGCTAGGTAGCTACCGACTTTTCCAAAATTTTTGTAAAAGATTTAATTTTTATGAGACTATTATTTTAAGATTGGTATCTCCGCATTATCTATAATACTAAAGGCTTATAAGTAATAAAGTGTTTTTTTAGTCGGAATTTTCCAGTCTCATTATATCTAAAAGATTATAAAGGATAATTTCTAATTGGTTGATGCCTTAAAAACAAAACTTAAAATAAATTTAAGTGAATTCGATATCTTTCTTTTAAAACGCTATAATAAAAATCGAAAATTTTTCTAATAAATAGCTTTGTGCTCGCTAATTAATTCAAGAACGTCAACTAATAAATAATAACAGTATTTTTTTTTATATAATCTATAAATAAATATTCATTTGGCAATTTTTCATGTATTTAAAATATTTTTATATAAATTTAAAAGCGCTATTGCCCGTGTCAAGGGCATAGCTTTCTGATTGCAGCTCTAGATTTGGATGATATTAATATTAAAATGCTGGGTTGATCGGTCAAATGAATTAAATTGACAGGAGTATTTGTGGTCAACGGTTATATACTCAAAAATGTTATATTTAATTAATTAACACGTAATGTTTAACAATTATATTAAAATAATTTCATTTTTAAATTTTTGATTGGATCTTGATATAAATATAATAATTTTGCTAAAGCATGGTTTTAACAGATAATTAATAATACCAAATTTTGTATTACTTTGAGTACAAATATCAATCATTACAGATGGGCATCGTCAATAAAATGCTTGGAGCAAATATAAATATGCAGAAAGTAAGCTCTGAAAGCATTTGTTAAAGAAGTAAGATTTTTGTTCCATGGAAATTACCAATAATATATAATATGAAAAAAAATTTAAAAGTTGAAACTATTCTTTAACCTTTACTACTTGTATTGTTATAAGCTCAAGGTGATAGATTTTCGCCAAAATAATATTATGTAAGCCTTGAGATTTCAAATGTCCAAACCTTTCAGCATCAATGAACAAAATATCCAGGTTTACATAATATTATTTTGGCTAAAATCTTAATCGGGCCATGTAACAGCACTAGGAATAAATGTACTTTGGCCGATTTAATAAAAAACGAGATGTCATGCTATTATTTTAATATTTTCCCATCTGACAAAAAATAATATATAAATCGATCCAAATAAAGAAAGAAAGAAAGAACTATTATTATTTATGGATCCCCAATATAAGTTTAGTATCGTATGTGATATGATACAAGTTAGACATTTCTGAAGGTTAAGTGATAAATTTTAGAAGTAAAAGCTGCCATATATATTTACTCGCCAAAATATGTGTAAAGCAGTAACTTTCATAAGAAACCATCAGATTTTGGCCTCAAGTTATTGGAATAGGCTTTACCTCACTTTTAACATTAAGATAGGTGTAATATTTTACTAAAAATTCCTACTTCATCTTAAAAACTGGTGAGTTTTGGGCAATTTTCTTAGGAAGAAATCGACTTCGACAACAATAAAATTAATAAGAATATTCTAACCCAATAATTGATTTTAAAATAAATGATAAAAAATTGAATAGAGCGAAACATTAATTTATAAAATATTACATAGATTTATCATAAACTATTTTATATAAAATAAAATTAACTTTTATTTGAATTTGACAGGTCAAATATGGGTCAATTGACCTAATCATATTTTACAGTATCGTTGTCAAAGGGCTCCATTTGGGCCAATTTTTTAAAAACGGCTAACTCAATATTTTAGCCAGAAAATTCGAGATTTCGCTAAAAGATGTCCAAACCTCGGTGCCACTCATGAGCCAAATATTTAGGATTGCTTTCTGGATAAAATATTGAGTAAGCCGGTTTTAAAAAATCGACTCAAATCTATCCGTTTAACAACAGCATTTGACAACAGGTCCAAATGCATAACCCTGTTAAAATGTAACAAAATAAATAATAAAGTATACGTAATAATTTTATGTCAATATTCTTTTTTGACGTTTGAATGTGAAATAGTTGAATTTATGGGCATGGGTTATAGACGGACCATTTATCCAAAAGAGAGACATGGAAATTTGAATTTTATTTTTAAAACAAATTTAATTTTTATCATTCCGTCAGAACACTCATTTCGGCTCTGAAGGCTATAATAAATTTTTAGGGCCGTAACATCTCATCAAAAATTGGTGATCCCACAATGAATGCCCATAGCTATGGGCAAAATCTAACCTGATCTTTATTCACGGTTCACGCCCTTACACGCGACCTAAGAGATTCGTTTTTATAATTTTTTTTAAAATAAATTTTTCAATTTTCTTTATATATACATTCTTCTTATTTATACGCTTTTTTTAAAATATTAAATGTATTGAAGCTACTTTTTTAAAAATGGCTAACAATGGCGATATTTTTTGAACAAATATGGTAACGTACAAACTTTTTTTTTCAAGTGGAGCTATGAGTATCGCGTTAATCTCAAAATTAGTCTTACAGATACTCACGGGAAGTCAAAAAAAAACTAATGGATTTTAATTGTCAAGTGGGTATTATTGTCCGGGACATTTCTTAACCGTTCTACGTTACAAAATCACCCACCCTCAACTCTGATATCACTTTATCAAATTAAAAACGTTAGATTAAACTTGAAAAAAAGGAAGCTTTCATTTAACATTAAAAAATGGAAGAATTATTACAATTCTTCGTTAAAAATATTTGCTATTATAAACTAACATCTTTATAAGACATTTTGATTATGTAATAATAACTTATTTATATTAGATATAATATAAAAATACAAGTTTAATTAAGTTATCATGTTATGTAAATAAGAATTGCTTTTATTCATATATTTTTTATGTCAAAAAATAATAAAATTCAATTATACAAAAAACACAATTATTCTTAAAATACAGGCTTTAGATACAAAAATTTTTTTTTAATGTTTATTTTTTATTTTTTTTAAAATTTCTTTCCAATCTTTTTATTTAAAAGAAAATTTCTATTCTTTTTCCGATCTGTTTCTAATCTTATTGCCTTCTTTTTTTTTCTTCTTTCGTTAATTTTTTTTTCTTCTCTTTTTGATTCCTCCATTCAAATTTATAATTTTTAACTATTAGTTGCTACGAAAATAAGCCATTTATTACAAATAATTAAATAAATCATAACTTTAAATGACAAGAATATTGTCCCATATTATCCATAATTTTGTCACTTGCTAATTTATTTATTTTCACATGTAATTCAATACGATTTTTTTTAAAATATTCATTTAAACATAATTTCGTGAGAAATAGTTATTTTAAAAGTCATGTAAATGAATACTTTATCAGCCAAAAAATAATATTTTACATCCCCCCAAAAAATAAAATGAAAAAAAAAACCACCCTTATGGGTCGAATGCTGTAATTAATGTTAGGAGTAAATAAGTTAGAAATAACATATAAGCCTAAATAACTAAAGCAAAGGGGCTAATGACAATAAACGGCTTCTGATAGTTTGGAGTTCGGACATAATTATCTAGCGAAGACCCCATGAATACATCGGAAATATTATGCGAGAACTAGATGCAGAGCAGCCAATAATTTGAAGGAACAGGCCAAGATTTACCCCAGGCTCCCCTAGATAATTTGTATACTGTATCTTCTTAGTAAATCTCTCTTCTGAAATATATAAATATGAATTGCCTGTCCGCCCCATTCATGCATCCACTGACATGATATCGAGGAAAGAAAAGAAGACCTCCTTAAAAATAAAATGCTAGCAAATGATGAATCAAGATATTTTAAGGCACTGTAAGGAGAGATTCATGTTAAGCAATATAAAAGGTGCGATTAAGTTTTGGACAATTGCTAATATAACGAGGGTCATAAAGAGAACGCAACTTTATCTCCATATTCTTGCGTGTAGCTTTAGTGATTCCTAAGAAAACTCGAGTTTTCCGGAAGTCTTTAAATAGATGTTAAATCTAAAAAAATAATAATTAAATTAGATTTTTTTAAAAAATATTTAAATTAATTTATTTTTTTTTAAAAATATATATTTCCTTGACTCGTACACAAATCAACCCTTTTCTTTTTATTATTTTTTAAAAGAAAAACAAATTTTATTCAATTTTGTCTTTTTTGTTAAAAATTAAACATGTGATTTAAAAAAAATAAATATATTAATGTAATTCTTGAAAAAATTTCATAATATTAACGACAGCATGCCTGCCCTCCATTTTGAGAATTCGACTAAATATTTGTAGCATAGATTCGAGAAAATAGCGAATAGATGACAAACACAAAAATTAGTTAATAAAACTAAATACAAAAATAAAATTTTTGAAAATAATTTAATTAGGAGGAGTGATAGAAAAAGTGTGTCATTACTCATTAGTCATTAAGTAAATATGATAGATAACTAAATGATTATATTCTAATTATGATTGTAGATGGCGTTATACTTGGAATTTAAGATTCACTTCTTTCTTTTTTGAAATCTTAAGATTAAAGTGCCCAAAATCATATGACTGTACTTTTATCAAAAGCCTTCAAACGTCTAAATTTTAAGCCCCAGATTTAAATATATATATTTTTTTAAACTTTTTCAAGTTCGACTATATTTTTGGCCAAACCTACCCGGGTAATTTTAAATATAATTGTAGATGGCGTTAATCTGGCACTTTATTATTTAAATCTTGCGATTAATGAAGTGCCCAACATCATATGATTGTCCTTTAATCGAAGGTTTTCAGAGGGTCGAATATTTTATCTACTTTTTCAAGTTCGACTCTATTTTTGGCTAAAACCTTGACGCTGGGTATTTTCATTTTTTGAATAAGCTGTATATTTTTGTATATCATTTCCAAGTAAACCGAAAAATATGAGCCGTAATGGGGAATTTTAAACGAACGGATTCACATCGAATAGTGGTTTAGATTCAGAATAATAATACTCGTTCGGTTCGAATCTTTAAAACCGGGTTCGAATCCTTAAAACCGGGTTCGAACATTTTCCCATTCAAACTTGGTTAGAGATATAAAAAGGAAAAGGGGAGCATATATCAGTATGCATTCCCTGCAAAGTATCAACTTTTATACGCTAGACTCGGGTAAGTTACTACCATATAATATGATATACAGAAAGCCAATCAAACTGACTGATTGTCAATACAAAGGTTCAAAAGGGTTCACCTACCTTTTTTAAGATACTTATCATGTTCGAGTTGCAAACTTTATATAGGTTCGGTTTTGTGTTGCGGATGTGATTCAATCTAGATTCCCGACTTACACCATCCCAAGAAATGATTTTTCAATTTTAATTGTGATGTCATCAAATTTATTTATTTTTTCGGACCCGGTTAGGGTGGCCCGGGTTGGCTCGGGTTTTGTCCTCCCGGATTTTTAAAATCTTACGACTTTATAACCACCAACCGGCCGATAAATTATATAAGTCAAATCAAATTGTAAGGCCGAAAATCGAGTAAATAACTCAGTAACGCGTTTAAGAAGGATCAATAAAGTGTTATTTATTTTATAAGAAACATGGTAAAGTTAAAATAAATATTGTATATAATTTATGGAGCCATATGAAAACCTGAAATTTAGAAAAATAAGGCTTTTTTCGGCTCAGCCCGTTCTAAGAATTGAGATCACCTTTGTTTGAACCCGGCATAAAATAGAGCCTTTTTTCAGAAATCGGCTAAAATGGGCGAAACAACACTAGCTTTAGTCCAAAGACCCCAATTAATTTTTTTATGGGGCTCAATGAACCAATTCACACTTTTTCGGACCTGATTTCAATAAAACAAATGTCAATCTTCAAAAGGAATGTGGGGTGGGGTTGAAGTGACTTTTTAAAATTAATATATTTATTTATTTTTCATATTTTTATTTATGTAATAAGAATGATATTAGTTTTATAACTCATTTTAATGTAATATTGAATTATGATTAATTTTTATTTTATTTTTAAATATTTGATTTCAAAAACGAAAAACTTTTTGATATATATAAAAAAATATTAAAGTAAATAAAAGGCACAAAAATTATTGAATCATTATTAATTTTTATTTAATATTTTTTTTTAATTAAAAAAGGTTAAGATTTTCGGGAATAAATATTCATATTTTGTTATATGCCATAAAGAAAATCATTCTCTCATCTTTTACCCGTTCTCTTCCTGTCCCCAAATGACGCGTAATAATACCGAAGGAATTTTGAGGAAGAGATTGGAATCCTCGGAAAATCTGTCACCGAATCACCTTCCTCGCATAAAAAATAACTTTCACCTATTACTACTAATATTTTTATCGACAATATCAGGTAATTTTATCTAATTTTATATATAAATATATATATATTAAATCGAATCTATAAAATCTTCAATTATCGGGAACTTTGGATATTAAGAACTCGCTGATTTAAAAAAATTATTTTCTTCCACTTTGGGATTTGATCTTAGTTAATTTAAAAAAGGGCGAACTTTTAGTTTGATTAAAATGGACACTAGTTTCTTTGACCGGAAGCCCGCCTCTATTTTTATTTCAAGCTGAGACTGAACTTAGGGGTTTAAGTTCTATAAGCTATGTTGGCTAAGTCATATTTAAGTTGGCTTACAGTTAAGTGATTTAGCGTTAACTACCCTCGGGAGCTCCACCATCGTTTATGATCAAAAAATTAAAACTATCTTGTAGCGAAAAAATTGATTTTTTTGTCCCCATCGTGTTCACCTATATATTAAGTTAATGTTAGATATAACCTGGCGTGATATTGAACGAATCAAATTTTGATACGCTCGAGGTAACACGTGTTAAAAATTGTTTTTCGAAGATCGTCTTCTGGCCCTGTCCTTCGGATTGAGATACCTCAACCTGAAGATTCTGGGTTCGAATCACGTGAGATTCATATATTTTTTTTCTGAATCCAACTTGGTGGTTCCACTACTTGGGGGATGATATGTAGTAGAAAGGACTCGTGTTGAAAAAAATTAATATGTCCTATTGCATTCATTTGCATAAAAAAATTGGTCGTTGTTTACTAATTGCTATATGTTGATCGTGTTGTATCTTAACATTAGATTGAATTTTTGATTTATATAGATATTTTTTGATAAGCGTGGTTTTAAAATGAGTGACATGCTGGGAAAGGGAATTTTCTATTTTGAACTAATAATTTTTTTGTGAGGCAACACTAAAATCAAACTAATAAAAAAAAACATTCCTAGTTCACACTTTATCTCAATTTATAAATATAGTTTCCGTTTTTTAAAAAATCACATTAGTATTGAAAATGGATGCTGCATATATTTTTTTAAGTCACATGACTAAAAAGTTATAATATATTATAGATACCCCCAAAGTATCGAAATATCTATTTTTTTTATATAAAAATTTGTCACATATCAGGTGTTGCATTACAATAAAAATATTATATTTTAAGTTTAAAATTTCTCTTATTTTAAAGCTTATAAAAAACGTGTGTAATGTAAAAATTCGCATTTTATAATATTTAACATTGAAGGCGTTCTTTAGAACTTTTGAAAAGAAGTTATCCAGGACAACCTGTTATTGTTAATATTACGTTTCTATCTCATTTCTGAATTATTCTTCGTTCATAATCTATTACCACGTTCTTTCAAACACTTTAAACAATATCCTGTATTTATTTTGGTATCTTGCTTCAAATTTGTTTTAGGTGGGGAGGCTTTGCCCATCTGTTTTCTCATTTTATACCAGATGATTACAAATATGATCTAAATCAGAAATAAAGACAAACCTTATTTAGAACATCTAAAACGATCATTTAATCAATTTTAGTATTTCTTCCTTTGCAAAATTCTAATGCACTATTTCTTCGTTTTAGAATTAAAATTTGCCAATTGGAATCCAAACTTCAGATGACTTATACATATTTGTTAGCTTAGGGTTAAAGTTCTTAATAGTCATTTCTATTTCTAATAATCTTATCTTTGATGTTATCAGAACATATCAAAATGGGTTTTATCATGAACAGTGCGTGATTATGAGCGATCCATTCCATGCCTATTTTTTTTAAAGATGTGTGAATAATAATATAACCTTTGGCTTTAAAATTTAAAATAAATTTAATTTCTATCTTTACCTTAGTGTGAGCTAAATCATCAATATGGTGGAAGATTTAGAAATTTTAAGTTCAGATTGCATTCTCCTCACTTTTCTAGATTCTTTGTGATCATATAAGAAGTCAAAATGTTCTTTCGAGCAAACAATATACTTTCAAGTTATAGGTTAAGGATCATAGAATTAACATGCCTAAAAAAATATTTAAGAATTAATAATATAAGCAGACGATTCATTTTGCAAGCAGACAATCCATTCTGTATAAACTGGTCGCATTTGATATTTTTTAATTATTTAGAATTGTTTTCAAGTTTAAATTTAACAATTTATTAATTTAATTATAATTAACAAAAATTTGAATATTTTTATATGATGACCTTTTTTATGGTAAAATTCTTTGTTCGTATTTATAAATCTTCATTCCATTTCTTATATACTTCTTTGTATTCTTTTTATTCTATTTTTAATTTGATGATCAAATTAACAATTCTCATACACAAAACAAAAGTCAATACAGCCTTCAATTTCGGTCCCATACTGAACGGTTTTGGTTCTTTTCCTCCAAATCCAAATCAATTTCCTAACCAACTTATTCCAGAATCTTCCCAATCTTCCCCCAAATTTTTTGGTGGGAATCAAAATCAATTTCCTAACCAATTTATTCGTGGACCTTCTCAATCTTCCCCCAAATTTTTTGGCGGGAATCAAAATATTGGCCCACCGATCTCTACTTCGCCGCCAAGATGTTCTCCCGGGTCAGGTCCCTCGCCTAGTCCCTACGGTAATTTCATAAGTATACTCAACCTAAACTCCTTTTGCTTATCGCGTAAGGATAGATGTCGATCAGATGCCAACCAACAAGGTACCACAATTTTTTCGAAATTATATAACTATAAAAATTTTTTTCATTACCTAATTCCAACTAGGTATATGCCCGCTCGGCATGTTCTGCTGCAACTATTGGTGCGGGGGCATATGCGTTCCATCCGGAAATCCAAATGGCGGCAAAAAGAGTTACTCGGGATCGAATATAGGGGGGATTGGCGGTGTCATAAATCCTGAATTGATACCCCAGGCCAGGCCCCCTCATTGGATGAATCCTAACTTCAATAAAAACTTCAACGATGTAAATACTGGAATCAAATTCCCGTACCCACCTCTACCTCCTTCAAAAAAGGATTATACCTTTAAACCGCCTCCGCCTCCAACCAATTTTCCGACCATTTTACCTGGTAAGCGTTTTTTTTCTTCCTTCTGTATTTCTTTTTTACTTCTCTCTCTATTCCATTTTTAAATGATATATAAATTGTTGGGAAAATTTTGTGTTTTGCGTTTCTACCTAACAATAACTTTTTTTGAAGAAAAATTGATAAGATTTTAAGTTAGCAAGCGGATATTTTATATATATATATATATTATTAGTTAAAATTTGAAAATGGCCCCCAATATATTTGAAGCGATAAATTTTTTTTTACAAACCCTAAAATGACCGCGAATGTTAGACATATCAGGTTTGTAATATTATAAGCAGCATAATTTTTAACCACACTGGGGAAACGTTTCCCGTAACTTAGGATAATATATTAGCCCTGCATCTGTGTTTTATCTGCCTATAATTTAAAATTATCACTTCAAACTATATGATATTGCGTTTGCGCACACAGGGTTTCCAGGTTCCTAACCCCTCCCCAAATCAGTGGGAAACTCCCGCGATTTTTTTTAGTTTACAAACAGACATCTCCCTCCCCCAAAACTCCCCAGTTTTAAAATTTCTCCCTCAAAATAGAAGTTTTTAACCAAATTTCTCACGCAATTTAAAAATTTTGACCTGACATGTAAAAAAAAATCTTAACTCTTACCCGAAAGTATATATATATATATTAAAATATTTCTATTTTCATATTTATACATATTAAAATTAATTTAGGTAATAATAATACCTTTATTATCGGTCGATATCAGAGGTCGAGCATTCTTAATATAATCGACTCGATCAAAATTCTGGGTGTGGTGTTAGTAAATCGCTTCCGCTAGAGGCCACTCCAAAACGGATTAACCCATTTTTAACCCCAATCCTTCGAAGCCGAGCCCAAATTGCCCCAAGATTAGGCTGTCTCGTATAGCTCAGATTTCCAAATAATCCTAAAAAAACCTATATGTTGTTTAGCCTTTTATTGCCACTAGAGTTTGCTCTCCAGCAAGGCAACTACACCAATTCTGGAAATGGGTCATTTTTTCTTTAACCATTTAGGTGTAATTCTGACGAATTGTATGGGGGGGGGGGGTATTCAATGTCTGCCTAAATATAACACTTGACAAAAAATGGTGGGTGAGGGAAGAATTTTTAAAAAAATCTTGATATCGCTCCCAGTCAAATAAATGTTATTTTTAACCGGATAGATAATTGATAGTGGCTGAGATAGTTGAACCAAAAAATTATTGATCGGAAGGAGAGAATTATTTTTTACCTGGATTAAATTAGCATACGAAATAATCACCTTTTTACCAAATTATTTTTGCGCAAACACATTTTCAATATTAAATACTATTTTTAGGCTTATAACATGTGTTTTATGTTTTGTGCTGACACTTGACAGGTGAAATGATGCCTTCATATCGCCTTAGTTTTGAGCCGTGCCTAAAAATATTTAAAGCTAAAAAACGAAAAATTTAAAAAAATACAAATTTAGGTGAGTATATATTGATTTAAAGGCTAGCTAGGATCAATGAATCATTAAGTTTTTTATTCAAAAAAACATTTGTTTTTTTTTATAAAAATTAACAATTCGTAATGTAGCAATTATTTTCACTTCTGATTTAAATAAAAAATATATTATATAAATAAAGTTTATAAAAGAATTTTTTTAGTAAATAATATAGTAAGAATAAATAAGATAGTCAAAAATTCTTCTACCTAGCCTTATGAAAAGGATTCTTTTTCAGTTTTGCCGACAAATTATTCAAATTTAAAATAAAATTGTTCGAATAACTTTATTTAATATATAACTTTATAAAAAAAATAAGAAAATTTAGATAGTAAATTTTTTTTGTGCCTTTAAATTATTCTTATATGGGTAGCACAGTGTGTTGTCGGTTTCTTTCGCGAGAAAACCCTGACGCAATTACGCGAGAAGGGGTCTAGCACGGGTCTAGCACAATTCGCGCGCGTTCAGGGTCGTTAACCAACATTACAATATGAATGAATGAATGAATAATTTTAAGACCTCATTCTATTTTAAACAAAATAAAATTCTGAAATAAAAAAAAAACCTTTTTACTAAACGATGTTCAAGATCGTTTGCAAAAAAAAATTCAAAGCCTCGAAATTTCACAAATACATGTCCAAACCCTCCTGCCATCTTAAGAACATATTTTTCAAAATGGCGCGATATATTTTTGGCAAAGATCTCGCGGTTGGCCATTTTAAAAAACCGGCTAAATTCGAGCCGTTTAACCTCGGTATAGATTTCACTTTTCTCTACCCGAGCCAAAGCACAAAATATTTATTAATTATTATAATAAGAATATTTTGACTTTAGGGTCCAAACCCACCCCGACCTCTTTACACAACCCTTTTTAAATGTTCAAACCCAAACCGATATTATTATCTTTTACAAAACCGAACTTTATGTACATCCGAACCGATATTCGTCACGGTTTGTAACGCTGGTATTGTTGCCCCATTTTCACCTAATGCCACACAAATCGATAGCCTTTATTTCATAAGATACTGTAAATACAGACCTGCTGTACCCAGTCCTATAGCACAGACCCGGATATCCGGGCAGTAATTTTTAACAGAGACCCGAGCCGACCCAGTTTCCCTAAAGCAATATGACCCGGGTACCCGGGCGTGTAAAATATTTTTAAAATATCCGGGGCCGGGTCGGGTACGATGCAAATGGCACCTCTGCAGGTCTTTGATATAATATTTATAAAAATAACTTAGAAAAACTGAATTTGAAATGATTGACATGACAAACCATACTAGATATTTAAAAAGTTTTTTTTAAAAAAAAAACATTCGCCATATGTGAACGATTTCAAAATGATCAATTTCTTCTTTTTTTTTCTTTATTCGCAAAATTCTGAGATTTCTATATTATTTCATTTTTTTTATTCAAATCGCCATTATTTTTTTTAAAAAAATTTGAATTTTCCTTTTTATCACATCTGACATTCTTAGTCTCGACTGGCAATTTATATAAATTTAATTTCCAAGAACTCGAATCTTCCAGAATAATTATTTTAGTCTTAAATGGAATTTTTTTTTTTTAAAAAAATCTAAAGCAACATATGTTTATTTTTAAAAAAAAAAATAAAGTGTTAACTCTAAAATATGAACAGAAAATTAGTTAGCAAAAAAACTGGTAAGTAAATTATTTGAATCTCTTCAAATAAAAATATGGCTTTGTTCCACTTTAATAAATGCCTTTATTTTTGTTTAGTTATTTGATCGAAACACTTTAAAGGCCCGAGGCCTTAAACCCGGCCCGGCCTTTTAAATATACCCGGGCCGGTGGGCCGGGCCGGGTCGGATATTTTAAAACCGAATAGTTGAAATCGCCATTATTAGCTTATAAAAATCAAAAATAAATTTAAGGTCCGGGCCTGCAAATTTTATTTTTAAAAAAAAATGGACCGGGCCGAGCTTGAAAATATAAAACCCGAAAAGCCGGGCCAAATAAATTTTCGAAAAAGAAATCCGGGCCGGGCCTTGCAAATGGTACCTCTCCAGTAGTGTTGTTAAAAAACCCGATACGGGTCTATTTTACAAAAATGGTCTAAGATTAAGATAACCAAAATAACATTATGTAAAAGTTAAAGATTTTGCCCATAGCTGGCAGAAATGTTTGGACATCTATTTGCTTCTTTCTTTCTTTCTTTCTTTCTTTCTTTCTTTCTTTCTTTCTTTCTTTCTTTCTTTCTTTCTTTCTTTCTTTCTTTCTTTCTTTCTTTCTTTCTTTCTTTCTTGTAAGCATAACAGGAGCAGGATTTTATTAAAAATATGATTTGAAATTAATTTATTTTAAAACCAAACAAAATGAATGCAGGAAGGTGCAGATGTTACGAAGGGCAGTTCGATTGCAACAATGGGCAGTGCATCCCTGGTTCTAAAGTTTGCGACAAAGTTCAGGATTGTTCCAACGCTCTAGACGAGTTAGCCATGTTTTGCCCTAAAAGTTTTTATATAAATATTTTTTTTTATAAAATTTTGATTTCTAATCACGCAAATAAAAAAACATTTCAGCCCTTTTCTAAAATAAAAATATTATTAAATCAAACCCCCTCAAATATATAAGAGTTGTTGAAGGACACCTTTAAAAAATGTAATATTTCGTATAAATACTGATAAAGTACTTTTTATCGATACTTTTTTGATACAAATCACCCATGAGTTTGTTGGCCATATTTGTCAATATTGGAAATTTATCAGAGATGTAGTATAATTAGTGTTGTTAAAACGGCTAGCTCAATATTTCATCCAGAAAAAGATATTACTCCAACCTGAAAATTTTGCCCATAGACGAAACAAAGTTCTAGGGATATGTTATCGAGATATCCAGACTTAGGCAATAAACAACACTAGTAGTAATACATCTAATTTTTAATTTAAATTAATTACAATGCGCCATGTAGATGAAAATGTGTTATAAATAAAAATGCGTTCATAAAAATCGTAATGTTAAATATTATAATAATAAATAGAGTAAAACTTGTCTAATTTGGGTTCTAGATAATTCGGGCAACTTCCTAATTGGCCAAATTTTTTAGTTCCAATCAAATTCCTTTCTAACTAATACTAGTTTTGACAAATTTGGGCATCTGTCTAAGTTGAACAAAAATCTTCGGTCTCAACGATGATGAAATTAGACAGATTTTACTGTTTATCTGACTTGGTATTCAGTGCACCTCTTGAAATTTTATGCTTATATCTATGACATATGATAAGATGCATACATTAAAAGTGTACATCGATGAAAACAGCTGGGGATGCCATTTTGAATGCCCATATCATTAGTAAAAATTTTAAACGAGAGGCCAATTCATTCCTATACCTGACGCAAGATAATAAGGAAGAAGAAAGCTATGAATCTATAATAGCCTTTTTAACATGAGAATAATTACTAAATCGGTTACCAAAATGGCGGGTCCAGCGGATTTGCATTCAGCGTCGCTTTCGAATGCATTATTTTGAATGCATCGTCAGAAGAGAAGAGAAGAGAAGAGAAGAGAAGAGAAGAGAAGAGAAGAGAAGAGAAGAGAAGAGAAGAGAAGAGAAGAGAAGAGAAGAGAGAGAGAAAGATTAAAATCTCAAATCCCTATGGATTGATTCCATATATTAAACTAATTACAACATTATACATTATATGAAAAATTATAATTTTCTCACAAATTTTAAAAATTAAAATCCTAACTATCATTAAAATAAATATGATGTGGCTATAAGAAATTAATCAACAATAATTTATTATGATTTTTTTTTCCCATGGGTACAGACTTACCCCTGGACCCTAGTTTTTCACATTTTTCTCGAACCTTGATAGAAATTACCAGGGTTGGAAAATTTTTTTTTTTAATAAAAAGATGAAGAAAAAGTGATTTTATTAATATAAATATCAAAATTATACAATTTCATAGCAAGTCTTTACCACTGATCTTCTTTTCCGCCAATGAATTACCGCGATCATTATTTTTGCCGCGAATTCCAAAATGCATTACAAATGCAATATCCATATAAAATATTACTTACGCATTATTTCGTCGCATAGGAGATACCTTTTTACACTATATATTCGAATAAATATTTTTACGGAAATACATTTGTAAAAATAATTTCTTAACACCATACGACTTGCACTTTCTAACTACCCGAACTTTTACTAAACCCGAACTCAGAACTGGTTGGGGTTCGACTTGCCGACGTCGACCTGAACCGAACTCATTTTTTAAAAGAAAAAATTCTAAGCAATCCGCAACGTACAGGCTAATCCTGTTTTTTTTGTATTTAATTTTATAATTTGATATATAATATATTATATATAAAAATATGATCATTATATTTAATAAATATTTTTTATTTCAAAGTTATGTTAGAAATGACTTTGATATCTAACCTAGATCGGAGGATACATTCATTAAAATGAATTAAGAAATTTATCGAGATACATAAGTATGTATCGCGATACTTTTAACAACTCTAAAATTATATGTAGGAGATACTCTCATGGCCAAATAATTTTAATTTACTATTGGTTAAAATTATTCACCAATTAATGGGTTACAAAATGGAATGTTTATTTTTTTTTATTTATTAGTCCAACCCACGCCTCCCCCCAAATTCCCGACGTTTTCCAGATGTTTGATTGGCCAATTTGCTTGTCAGTATTCCGATAAATGTCTTCCTGCAGAATTCGTATGCAATGGAATCAAGGATTGTCCGAATGGAGATGATGAAATTCCTGAAAGATGTTTTAAAAGTTTCGATAATATTTATAGCTTGATTACTACAGAATTTTTAAAATGACTTGTATATTCCAACTATTTAATTATAACAAAATTTTTGGTCTCAAACAATTTTATTTCGCGCTAATACATAATATATTATACATTTATTTTTTAAATTAAGAGCCTCCCCCTAAAATGCCGCAATGTTTTCCCAATCAATTTCAATGCGCGGATGGTTCCTGCATCCCTGGGGAATATGTGTGCGATGGTAAAAATGATTGCAAATTTGGGAAGGATGAATTGCCCCAATATTGCAAAAGTAATGATATCAACATTTTTAATCTTTACTCTCTTTCGCTATTCCCCTATGAATAATCTGGAAAATTTCAATCTCCATGGTATTTGAATTCATTTAAACATCATACTCTTCTAAAGGTTTCCTTATTGGCAGTGGCCCCTACACTTGAGCGATAGAAGCAGAAAGAATACCCCCATCCCTTCATAAAATCAATTGTTTTCTTCGTGAGAAAAGTAAAAATAACAAAAATCTTTGAATGAGTATCTGATAATCTTATTAAGATTTTTTTGGTTTTTAGTAAGTTGGTGAAATTCCAGACACAACAAAGGCAATGTTAGGGTTCGTTCCTAGCAAAGACTAAATTTCTATATTTTTTTTTCATATAAAACAATTTTCATTGTGTATAAAATAATTAATAATCTCTTATTTTCTTGCAAAAAAATTAATAATATATCAAACATTTAATTTAGATCGTCCTAACCCACAACCCCCTGGTCAAGATTGCGATAAAGGATTTCGGTGCAAAAACGGGCAATGTGTAAGGCCCAACGCTCAGTGCGATTGCAATTATGATTGTATGGATGGATCGGATGAAGACCCTTCCCTTTGTAAGAGAGGTTAAAGTTTTACTTGCTTATTATATATTTTTTGCAGTGACAGACAGAAGCTCATCTAACATATGTAGGTTTTTTTCAAAAAAAATTCTTTTTCTAGACGAGTAAAGGAGCTGATAGGTAAAAAAAAATACTAATGATATATAATAATAACTAGACTGAAGATATGTTCATAATAATGCATATGAAAGCGTCGTCGAATGCGGATCCGCCATTTTGGTAACCCATATAGTATTCCAAGCTAAAAACTACTATTAAATTGATAAACTTGCTTCCTTATTATCACGATGATCAGGCAATTCTTTAAAGGTTTGCGACAGACATAGGAATAAATTGCCCTCTCGTTTAAAATTTTTAGTAATGAAACGAAACGGGTAATCCAAAAGGCGTCCCCTGCTGTTTTCATTGGTGTCACACTTTTAACGAATGTATCGTCAGTCTAGGTATTATTATATGTCATTGGTATATATACTCAAAAATTAAATCAATTTTGGATGGTTTTTTTTAAAATATCTATAATTTTGAGATTTAGCAGGATATATAAATATCGGACAGGAATTTTTCCATCGTTAAATTAGCGCGCTAATTTTTTTTTTTGCTTCACTTTTTATGGGAAATTTATCTTTTCTACTTTTTGGAAATAAGGGATCCAAAAAGTTTCTTGAAAATAGAGCTATGTTTACTTGAACTTATTGGTCAAGAACAAGGTTTAAACCTCATTGTTAAACATAATATAAATTAATTGGTAGGAAAATTTTCTAAAGATAATGAGTTGAAATAAGACCAAGAAGAAATGTATACATTCCTTAAAATGGAAATTGATCACCTGAAAATCTAGGGTAGAGGTGGCGAAAAGAAGAAAAACTGGAAGCAGGGTAGAAAAGAATAGAAAAAAAAGAAAAAAATGGAAAATTTTATCTTTTCTTTTTCTCTTTTTTTCAACCAATAACATGAATGTATTATTCTAAGCTAGCGATACTTTTATTGAAAATGCATATAACTGTCTATTAGTTGTAGGTGGTCTGCATGATGACGAAATGACATTTATGTTTTTGTTTTAAAAAAATTTTTTTTTTACACTAAGTATAAAAGAATAAAATTGACCACAAAATGGCGTCTATAGCTGTTAATTATGAGGGGTAATGATGCATTATGGTGTTGAACGTTTTTTATTTTTTTTAAAAATCTCTTTTTATTAATAGATACCTTCGTAATTTTCCCCTTTAAATTTATATATGTTAGAGTCAATGTGTTTTTTTCCGGCTAGAGCTTGTGTTTTAATAAATATAAAAATCGGGGTTTACCAGAAATATATTCTATCATGTTTGGAATGCCTATCTTATGAATTTTAGACAATTTTGCAGCTAACCTTTGAGTCATTTATAATTCATAAAATATTTAGAAAATAGAATATTGGCAATTCTTCGTACACCAGATAGTATGTCTAGCAAATCAGCATTGAGTTATTTCCAAACAGTTGATGGAGCACATTGTCTTACGTGTAAAATTAGATTTTTTAAATTTAAAAAACGCGCTCAAATAATGATTTAAAGTTTGAAATTGCTAAAGACGATCATTGAGGAAACACTTTATAAACCTCGAACTGAGTTCCAAACCAGTCTCTTTTTCTGAAGCCCACTATATGGTTCCGTGCCACGGGGTATGGTTAAACTCACGTGATTTCATTAATATATATGTATATTGAAAATAAAACTTGGTCTTATGGAATTTAATAAACTTTAGTCGTTGTTTAGCAAATATCTATATGATGACCAAATCCGATTGCTAGGTGGGGTACACCTTTAATGATTGAATTCTCAAATTGGATATATAATTCAAAATTAAAATAAAATTATACATATATTAATTTTTTAATATAATATATTTTATAAATTAAAAGGTGACATATGGATAATAAAATGCACCCAAGTTCAAAAGCCTATTAGATTATTCTGAAACAAAGTCTCTATCATTTAATTTCTTTTTCATACCCCGCTATAGCTTACTGAAATTATCTACGGATTCTGCGCAGGCAAATTTTGATAACATTGAATCCTAAATTCGACGAGAACATTCTTATCTAATTTTAGTTAGGTTAGATGGGGTATTTACAAAATTATAAAACTATATTTTTTCCTTATAACTTTTTTTTACAAATCAATATTAAAATTTGTATAAAAATTGTATACATGTGTTTTATAAATTATTGTACTATATTATTATATATTACCTTTTAGCACAATTACTATTATATATTTTTTGATACTTAATAAAGGCATTAAATAAAGTTTAGAAAATTACCTTCAAATAAGACCAAACGAAACTTTAATAAAATTAGAACCAATCGATAAAAAAAAATTAATATCTTTTTGAAAAAATTTTAACAAGGTAATCTAAGATTCTTATAACTTAAAACTATTTTAAAATTTTAACTCCTTACTATTAATAATATTACAGATATATGGTCCAAAGTTGGTAAAAATTACTAAATTTAAATTATCAGCCATTGAATTAATAATTTATTTAAAAATTCACAAAGTAATAAATAATAATGCATTAAAAAAACTTTCCATGCTGACAAAATTATTCATTTCAATTTCTTTTTTGCTTTTATTATCATATCAAAGTAATGCGCCTTTTCACCCTAAAATTCATAACTCTTCTAAAAGCAAGGGGGGGGGGCTTCCTAATTTTGACACATGTGCGTGTTGAGCCTATAAAATATTAATTTTTATTCTCTGGGCAGTAAGAAAAAACACTTAGAAAATTAATCAGAATTGTTTAATAATTAATTACTTAATTAGTTAGTATCTGTGAAGTTAATATTCATATCCCCAAATGTAATTATTTCTTTAAATACCTACAGGGGGCATCATTAGATTTTCCAGTTTGCCTGGGTTCAAAATCTTAAAAATATGGAGGGAGTTTGAGCCAACGCTACTAACATATATGTAATCGGCAGGGTAGATAATTTAATTGTCATTTTTACAAAATTTATTAGTTACCATCAATGACACATAATAATGCCTAGACTGACTATGTATTCATTAAGAAGTGTATATAAATGAAAACAGCTGGGGACGCCATTTAAAATTTTAAACGCGAGGCCAATTTATTTCTATGTCTCACGCAAACTTTAAAGAATTGTCTGATCATCGAGATAATAAGAAGTTATCAATTTAATAGTAGTTTTTAACATGAGAATAATTTACCATATGGATTACCAAAATGGCGGGTCCAGCTGATTTGCATTCAACGACGCTTTTTCAAATGCATTATTATGAATGCATCGTCAGTCTAAGCATTGTTATATGCCATTTGTTACCAAGTATTTATATCTCCATTATTCTTAATTTAGCGCCAGTTCGAAGTTATGATTTTTAATTTTATAAATATAAGTAGGTGTATAAAAAGCAGTTATCTTAAGGCCGGATATTGTGCAAATTAGCATTTGCCAAATCCTCGTTATTCTGAACGAATATTTCTGTTCCACCGTTAAATTGTTATTTACTATAAATAAACACTTTTGTGACTTAAAAAGTATCATTTCAAAACCTGCTAAATAGGTTTTTAAAATATCATTTAACAAGCAAGGTAAAAGGGCCAAAAAATTCGAATATTGTTTTTATTATCAGAAAAAGTTCAATAATGATAGGTATAATATAATATAGATATACTGTATTGTATAATAATAACAAAATAATTAATATATAAAAAGAAGGGTAAATTTAATGATGCAAAAATTAAATGCTGAATAATCATTAATTTAAATTTTAAAAAAAAACTTTTAAATCTTGTGAAAATTTGATATTTTTTAAAAAAATATAAAATGATTACACATGATTATAGAAATATTACAATATATATTTTTATTTTAATTGGGGATAAAAATATGATAATAAGTATATTATATAAAAAAATTAAATGGAATAATAAATAGCAAATATATATTTTTTTTAGGAAAAATAATATTAAACATTATGAGTTATTAATAATGGGATGAGGAATGTAGCCTTTATTTTTACATATAAGATTTTATTTTTTTTTGTAAAAAATTGAGTATAATTTAGCTCATTTGTAAGTTGGGAAAGAAAAAGAAAAAGAAAAAAAGAAGCATGAATGAGTGGCAAAATATCGGCATATTTATTTAAAATAAATTCTAAAATCCACTAGGAAAAATCGTGTCGGCTTAAGTTTTGATTTTCAAAATTTAAAGAGATTCTGTAAATACCAAAAAAAAATTAACAATTTATTTTTAAAAAAAGAAAGATTTTTATTTTAATTTTTTTTTTTGATTTTGGAAGCATCGGTATAAAATCATGTTTAATAATTCTGACATATTTTTTTTATGAGTGATTCGGAGGAAGGGGGGTGGGGGGTGGAACACTAAATTATATAAAAAAATTATATATATATATATGTATAAATTAGACAAGTCGATATTGATTGGTCAAACATAAATAAGGTGGATAAATATAATTTACATTTTAAAATTGTAAAAGGTTAAAAGCTTTCTTACTTTTTACAATCGGAAAAATTAAGCTTCATTTTTATAGTTCGTAAAAAAATAGATATATATATATATATATTAATGGCAAAGGGCTACAAAAAAAAATCGGGTTGATATTATACCTTTAAGTAATATTTGGTTTTTATTTTAAAAGAAGAATAAATATGTCAATTGCCATCTAAATGAAATATCTAAAATATACATTATATTTTATAAACTATCATATTATCACATTGATTACAATAATACGCTTAATGTCATTTTTGTTTTAAAAAAAAAGTAAGATTATATTACAATTTTTCGACGAATGTCTTATTGGGATAAAACACACCCCCCCCCCTTACTAACAAAATTTAATTTTATAATTAATTTCTAATATTAAAAAAAGTAGGAAAAATGAAAATGTTGCTTCTATAGCAATGATAGGTTAGGAATAATAAAAAATTTTTTTAACAAATTTTATGGTTTGGAGGCTATTTTTTCGAAATATTTGTAAGTGGGATTTTCGTACCCGTTCACCTGCATGCTGGCTAAATTGCGTTCTTCGAGGGATCGGTTATCAACTTCGACATAATCACTAACGTTATCCTAACGTAAAATGTTTTTATATTTTAAAAAAAAATCTTAATAGATTAATAATAAAACTGATATTGTTTGATGCTAATGAGAGATGAACCTATTTCCATCTGTTTTAGCCGATACTCAAATGTATCGGCCAATAATCACCAATAAGAATGTATAATATTTTTTGGGAAAAAAACAACAAGATACAATTATTCAATCAATAAAATATTATTTTCGAAAAATATTTATTTATTTACGGGTTTATCTCTTAATATGTCAAAGTAGAAATTTTCTCCCATAAATTCTATTAACCAATCTCTTTGGAATATAATTCCACCCAGAACTTAGTCATCTTGGTTCTTCAATTGGTGGTCTCACTACATTTAAGACCTACCTACCAGTCGTTCTTTCTACTTAAAAATTATTTTAACATATTCAAGATCATGTATGCTATTATATCAGCTCCAATTTTTCATTACAAAGATTTCCTCTTCAAGTAAGAGTTGCATATCCAACAATTCCGGAGGCTATCGTCAATATAAAATTTTCAGACAAATCGTGGCTCTATGCCTCTCTTTCATGTAAATAACGAGTGGTTCCTATTCCCCATCCCTCCTCTCTCTTATTGCTTTTATCTCCTCAATGTTAAGGGGGTTTAAGTTTAATTTCTACTATGATGTTGACCTAAAAGGCACTATTCACACTTGAGTGGGCAATTGGCATTAGCAGACCCACATCCACTCTTCAGAAAGCATGGGATATTTCCGTTGATTCTCACACAAGCCATTATGATGGCTATTCATCAAAGTAAATTGCATTGCTATTCATGATTCTATAGCAATGCAAGTAAACCGATCTCTCAAATTTCTTTTAATTATGTTTTTTATATTTTAAATTGGTTTTTTTTTATGTTTTAATGGTTTTTAATAAACTCAATGAATAAAAAATTTATATACTAGTTTACGAAATTCATAAAATTAAATTAAATATAAAAAAAAATTCGCCAATTTGAAAGCATCTGTTGTTAGGAATATATACCGCCAGCGAGTATGGAAGCGTCTGATAATAATTAAATTATTTAAGCTTTATAGACTTGTAATATATAAATATCGTGTCATATAAATTAAAATGTGTCCAATAAATACTTTTATTGGGTTAAATCTAATTATAAAAAAACCTTGAAAATTTTCTTCTTAAACATTCCCGCGTTAGCCTTTCCGTTGGTTCCATTTCCTTCCTTCCCATCGCAATCCTCTTCGCAAGTGGGCACTGGAGCGTGTTTGGATCTCTTTATAGTGGTAAATCTTCGTTTTATCATGACGGCCCCTAACAAAATGGCAGCGAAGGCCGAGAGCGTTAGGATTGTTACAGTTGTCAGGTAGGCCGTTGAGTGACGATTAGAGTTTTTGATGGAAGTCAGGCCCGAAGAGTAAAATGGCTTTAAAGGGAAAACATATTTTTAATATTTAAATGATAAGAAATTCAAATAAAAGATCATATAATAAATATTTTTAAAAAAAATGTCTTATATAATACCAAATTTTTTGAGTCCCCATAATGAAATAATTGATCGTCGTTCCGTTTGGCGTACAAAATGGGTGAACCAGTGCTTGCGGTTGCCGTCATCTGACTTTCACCGATAGTCGTGGAGGTTGCCACCTTTTTCTGGATTTTGTTGTTAACGACTTCGTTATCGACCGTTTCATCGTCGTCATCGTCATCATCATCATTGTCGTAAGAATCGTCTGCGTCATCTTCGGAATCGTCGTAAGGTGAATCATCCGATTTTTGAGGTGATAATTTCAGGTTCAGTGATTTTGTTGTAGTGTTTGCTAAATTTAAAAAATTTATATAATTAAATGAAACATTTGCATTTTAAGATGAATAATATAAATCATATTTCGTTGTCAGGTAGGCCGTTGAGTGACGATTAGAGTTTTTGATGGAAGTCAGGCCCGAAGAGTAAAATGGCTTTAAAGGGAAAACATATTTTTAATATTTAAATGATAAGAAATTCAAATAAAAGATCATATAATAAATATTTTTAAAAAAAATGTCTTATATAATACCAAATTTTTTGAGTCCCCATAATGAAATAATTGATCGTCGTTCCGTTTGGCGTACAAAATGGGTGAACCAGTGCTTGCGGTTGCCGTCATCTGACTTTCACCGATAGTCGTGGAGGTTGCCACCTTTTTCTGGATTTTGTTGTTAACGACTTCGTTATCGACCGTTTCATCGTCGTCATCGTCATCATCATCATTGTCGTAAGAATCGTCTGCGTCATCTTCGGAATCGTCGTAAGGTGAATCATCCGATTTTTGAGGTGATAATTTCAGGTTCAGTGATTTTGTTGTAGTGTTTGCTAAATTTAAAAAATTTATATAATTAAATGAAACATTTGCATTTTAAGATGAATAATATAAATCATATTTCTAAGGGTTCTAATTAACATCATTATCTAACAGTTTTGATGCGATATATTATTTTATTATGTGGTGGCGGCTTACAAATTGAATAAGAAAGGTGATATTTGATCAATCACATTTTTTACTATTTAGCGTAATCTTTCACCGCGTATAAATCGGTATTTAATATCTAGTAAAACATGAAAATTAGTAGCGTCATTTATTACGGTCAGAGTTGAGAAAAGTATCAAGATAGTATGATATTGTCTTGTCTGTATCTAGATACATTTTTAAAACAATTTAGCTCCATACCGATACATTCAAAGAGTATCGTTCAACAAACTTTAATTACAAGGGGATTTGTAAAATAGCTTCCAAATCATTTATGCAGTATTTTTTTAAAGAAAATTCCATTCAATTAGAATTTTTAAAAAAATTTTAAACGATGAATGCCACCATAAAATAATGTCTATAGCTGAACTCCTGTGTATGCACACTTTAATTGAATAGATGGCCAATCTAGCTAGCATAATAATATATAAGAACATGGCCTAACACACAACAAAATCTTGAATATAATAAAAAAATATTTACAGCCAGGTGAAGAAGTCGATATTTCCGATAGGATTGATGCTTGAATTTTATCTGACTCGTCTTGAACGATAGAATTGGTCAATTCGGCAAAATCTCCATTCCTCGTTTTAATAGTCTCAAGAAATGATGCTAATCATATAGAAATACATTAATAAATTTAGAGCGAAAAACACCCTCATTATTAAAGAATAAAAACAATGTTCCCGAAAAATGATAAAATTTATGAAATTAAATAATAAAGGGTCGGCATTGGAAGCCATGTTGGGTTGTCGCATGAAATGCAGAAATCGCGGACATGATATTTTTTTTAAAAATGTATAATCTTTATTATATACCTATATGAGGCGCTATTTTGTCATAGCTAGAAGTGGGGAGGCGTCTTTTGAGCATGGCCAGTGACCTATTAAACCTCCTTTCGACGTCCATAATATGTCTAGCTACCACGCGTTTAACTCTGGCGGCTGCTTCAGGGTCGGAATTAAGCAAGTGCTCGTAATAGTGGATCACGTGCATTTTGTCACGTTCCTCGGCTCTAAGGAGACGTTCCAGGGCGATTTTAAGATGATCGGGCTTTTATAGAAGAAATATATAAATATTGTCACATTTCTATTTTTGTGTTAGAGCCGACTTCCAAAATGGTAGCACGTAAAGTTTAAAAAAAGAATAAGTTAGATGCCGTTTTAATTTTGTTATAAAAAGAACATTTTAACTTTGTAAAACTAACTGGATAACGAACTTCGAAATATAAATTATTTGTTTTCCTAATGTTTTTAAATATATTATTTATAAAAAAAATACAAAGTTTAGAAAATCATTTGCCTCTAATCTTCTAGTCTCATACTGATGCATAATTTTTTAGGAATGAATAAAAAATTTGGTATATCATTTATTGATTTTGAATCATGATAATATGTATTTTTTTTTTACTGATGGATATGGTTTTTCGAGTTCCTTCAAAAATTCGAACATGAATTTTCGTTTTTTGGTGTTGAGTAAAGAGGTGACTCTCTGTTCGTGGATAGCTGTCAGCTGCTTCTTCTGCGCCTTTTCTTCGGCTTCGAGTGCTGAAATCGTTTTTTGAAAACTCTAAACAACCATTTAAAAATGTATATATCAATATTATTACATTAATATTGATTTCTTTAAAATCATATGAAAATATATATATTATTGCTCTAATTTTTGATCGCGTGATCAATTTTTAACCAGTAGTATTCGTAATTTTTTCCCATATCAAAATTTAAATACAGGAAGTGTTTATATTTTTTTTTATGTAAAGTATAGTCATTTTTATGATAAATTGCAAAGTCATTTTTTGTTTGCGAAAAAATTTTTTTTTTGAATTTTTTTTTGCGCAGTCCATTCTTTTAATATATTTATTAAAAAGGATTTATATTAAAAATTGCTATTTCTAGATTAATTATATTAATAAATAATTCATATTTATTTGGCAGTAGATATGACATATTAGTGTTATTAAACGGCTCGTTTTGAGCCGTTTTTACAAATGGCTAACTCAATATTTCATCCAGAATACTATTACGCAACAACTCAAGATTTTGTTTGTTGAAGGAACAAAGGTTTAGACATATATTATCGAAATCTCGATAATTAGGGCCTTATTTTTCTGGCTAAAATATTGAGTTAGCCGTTTGCTCAAATTGAGCCGTTTAACAACACTAGTTAGATAAAAATAACTAAATAAAAGACAGCTGTCATTTTTTCCAGAGTTTCATTATCATTTGATAATTGTTGTCTTCCATATTTTACAAATCAATTTTGGTTGCGTTTCAGAAGAAAGGAGAAAAATTATTTATTTTTTTGTTCAAATGAAAAAATTATTACGAGTAAGAAAAAAATCATTATATTTTATTTCGTTAAAAAAAAATAAAGTGTCCCAAAATAAAAGAGAGCAACCGATTCCTATTTTCCTCACTACCATACTTGGTAGGAAATATTATAGTAACTGACAAATTTAAGGCCACTAAAGGGAGATGTGGGATCGGTAGTTTTAATATTGAGTACCCCTTAAATTCTGTTAGAGTCCCTAGTTTTGGGATTCTTTCGGTTCAGAGTTCTTACTTCCTTTTTTTTTGATAACTTTGATTAAGTGGTTCTTTTTTTTTTCTAAATCGGTTCTTTCTTAATTTATTTCTTATACCGAAAATATATACACAATTTTAAATTTTAAAAACTAAATTTTCTTTTATTTCCATTTTCGAAAAAAAAATACAAAATTGTTTAAATATTAATTTTTTTTCACAAAAGCCGAAAATTAATATTTTTTGAATAATAAGAAGAAATAAAATAATAATGTATTTTCTTTTTTTCATAATGCTAAGATATACATATTTCCAATTATTACAATACAAATTATTATTATTTATTATTTTTTTACAAATGCCGATTATAAAAAATAAACAACTATATTTAAAAAAAATAAATAACAAACCAAAATGACGACTATTTTATATATAACAAAAATAAACTAAAATTCCTCACTGCCTAACAGCAGCTCCACCCTTCAGAAGAAATCCTCTTCCTCCCTATCCGCTTCCGACATAATAAAATACAAGAAATCCCCCAATGTTCTCGGCCACTCTGAGCCGTTTGCCGAGTCATCCGGTGTTTCAAGCCTCTAGGAATCGATTTTCCAATCTTCATCTCACACGCCCCATCTTGTCTTCTTACGCGCTCCTCCGGCAGTAAACCTCCGCTCAGAGTGGTCGAGAGCATTGGGGGATTTCTTGGATTTAATTCTGTCGGACGCAGAGAAGAAGAGGATTTCTTCTGAAGGGTGGAGCTGATGTTAGGCAGTGAGTAAAAATATGGATTTTTAGTTTATTTTTGTTATATAAAATAGTCGTCTTTTTGGTTTGTTATTTTATTTTATAATAATTTGTATTGTAATAATTGGAAATATATATAATATAGCATTATAAAAAAAAGAAAATAGATTATTATTTTTAATTCTTCATATTATTCAAAAAATATTAAAATTTTTCTGCTTTAGTAAAAAAAAAAATATTTAATCAATTTAGTTTTTTTTTCGAAAATATAAATAAAAGAAAATTTAGTTTTTAAAATTTAATATTGTGTAATATTTACCATATTTGTTGGATTTAAGCCCATTTCTTAATCTTTTTTTTTTTGACAAAAACGACATCATGGCCATTCATGCCACTTCTCCCTTATATGTGATCCATCATCATTTGCGATTCACCATTACCGTCACGTGACTAACGGCCCTGCTAGTTTTCCAACGTTATTATTTTAATGCCCTCAACATTATTATTTAAATTCAAATTTAAAAAAATACTAAACCATTACGTCATAAGCTATAAATGAGCTATCCCTCTTTAACTTACGTGTATTTTATTTCCCCTCATTTTCCATTCTAGCAAGCCTTATTTTTTTTGATTTACAAATCTTCGTCCCACCCATTCTGCGGTTGAAGGTCGTCCCATTCTCCGAGAAGTGGCTAAGTCAAAGCCCAGAGAAAACATTTAAAGTACTGAGTAATGTAACGAGCTACCTTAATTCGTTACTTGTTTTCAACTATAATTTTTTTGGAAAATAATAACGATCATTACAAAACGAATAATACCTTGCTAATATCCTGTTTGTATCTCTGGGCTAAATACGGATCCTTGGCCTTGATATCGTTGTACCGCTTCTCGCTTAGGGTCCAATCTCTCATGAGATTAATGATGGTCTTCCTCCGCTTCTCTTTCATCCAGTTTTTAACGCCGACAAAGCGTTCGTGTTCCTTGTCCTTATCGAAGGCGGAATAGTAAGTTTTTATGCCCCCTTGCTCCTTCTCCATTCCATCATCCGTTACCCCAGTAGTTTCCTGCGTAACGTCCGTTTCGGATGATTCCGTCGATTTGGGTAAATGGGTTGATCCCGTTGGCGCTTGAATTATTAGGAGTTCGTCGTGAAGAAGTTGGGTAAGTTACGGTAGGAGGGGTCGCTAAAATGATCGTTTGAGCTCTAAGGGAGTGGTAGGAAGGTTCGTTCTGCGAAGGAATGGCTTTTTTTTAAAAAAATAAATTTTAAACATTTTTATTTCGTGGATCTCTAATTTTATTAATTTTGTCATTTTTTAATATCTTATTAAACTGGGATTTTTTTTTCCGGGGAATTATTTTCCAAGATTCATTATAGTTTAACCCATTTAAAAAAAATAATTATATTCTACACATCGAGTGCGTCTGTTGGACACAAAACATACACACCTTACAGTAATTTAATAACCAACTTATTTTAAATTATAAGGGAAATAATCTTGTGGCGCTGGTAGTAGTTGTCAATTGTTCCAGCGTTCTCCGCTAAATCAACGCATACCATTCTATAAATAGAACCTTCTGGAAGGTTACATTTATTTCGGGGCAAATAATAAATAAAAAAAATTGTTCGGGATCGGGGCGGGCAGGTCGGTCCGGGCTTGAAAAATTCGGACCGATGCAGAATCACAGTTGATTGACGTATATTATTTTAAATGAATGAAATGGTGTAAAAGTTTAAGTAATGCCGATTTTTATGAGAAACTACAAATTTGGAATGGTGAGTCCTCAGGGTGGCTGAAGATTAACTGATAAAAGGGGGAGTTTCGGGAATAGCCGGTTTAAGCGAACTAAATGTTAAACTTTGAATGGCGGTCGTAACAAATTTCACTGAATTAAACCTAAGGTCTAGCTGATCTCCTTGAGGGTAGAAAGGACAATCATAAAATCCATGCCTCATCATTTTTCAATCATAATTAATTTTATACGTTTTCCACTTCCACACCCCCTAATTTGAGATGCTGCAAAACACTTTTATTTAATTTTGTTTTCAACCCTTCAATTATTCCAAAAAATAATAATGCCTTAAATTCCTTTGGTATAGTTTCCCCTAATTTCAACCCAAATATATTCCCATTTCTATATATTCATTGTTATGATTATTTTGATAATAGTAATCATTTTTCTCGAAAAAGAGTCATCCACGAGTAGTTATCCATCTTCAGGTCAAGATTTATTTTTTTCAAGTTATGACTACCCTGACAGGGTTTCGGGCCTTGACTGTTCTAAAGTAATCAAAATTTGAACAGGCTTGGGGTAACATGCACCCCACCAGAGTAGAGAAGGATTAAGTACGCGCTTTAATACGTGGAGCTCTCCAATATTACAGGTTAGTTAGTATTTATATCTTAAGGGATAGGTTTTAAAATCGCTTAAAAATTGGAAAAATTTCTCTCATATCTCCCAAGAAATTTTTTTTAAAGTAAATTTGAAATTAATATTAATTAGATGCTAACCGTGTAAAACACTTGTTATTAGAATTCTAAACTTAAATAAGAGTGTTTATTCCCCTAATTTCGAATTTACTAAAAATTTTCTAGGAGATATAAGCGAGATTCCCAATTTTTAGCATCCTACCCTCAGCATCGTCGTGGCGGAGGCCTAAAAGGTTCCCTGTAGTCTGGGTCTAGAATAAGATCACCGTCTTCTCGATGGGGTGTTAAAACCACCTAAAGGGGTTGATGTCAGGAAGGTCATCCTGTAAAAACCTTGCTTCAAAAATTCCTAATAATTAAATCAGAGGAAAAACTGGCCAACCTGGATAAACCTGAAAATCGCCATTAAAAGAAGAAGGATTATTTCCTTTCTTTCCTACAATATTCTTCAAAATAACTCCTTTTTTTAAAAAAAAAATGATTATTTTTTTTTCAATTATTTTTATTGAATTTTTTTTTTATATTTAACATTTTTGTTTTTATTAGGGACAAAAAAAAATGTACAGATAAGAATTAATAAAAATAAATAAGGTGTTAATAACCTCATTAAACTATTAATTTTAGATTTTTTTTTCTCCTGCCTTTTCGCGATTATTTGTTGTTGTCCAATTTCGATAAAACGTTTTCGAGCGAACCTGTCCGTTTTGTCCCCACCCACCCAACCCCCGCCCCTTATCTCGATTATTATTTATATCTCATTTAATTTTTTTTTTAAAGCGAAAAAAAAGGTAAACGAACTTCATTTACTTCTCTCACTTCACTATCTCTATCCGTTTGTTATGGTCAAAAAAATAATAAAATAAATTGGTTTTTTTTATTTTTTTTCAAAAAAAAACAAAATGGCTGACAAATTTTTTTTCCCATTTTTAGATCGGAATTTATAGATAGATAGCGGGGAAAAAAAATCGATATTAAAATAAAATTATTTATAATTGTAAAAAAGGTCTATGGGAAATTTTTTTAAATTTATTTTAAAGATATTAAATTGTGCATGTATAAAAGGAAGTTTAAAATGATGGGTATTAATTTAATAAAAACAGTTTTTTTTTTCGGAGGAAAAAAAACAATTTTTCTGTTTTTTTAGAAAATATTCATTCTTGCAAATCCTGATAGAAGATACAACTAACTCACTTATTATTTTGTTGAAAAATTGCATTTTTCATTTATAGCTTCAAAAATCTGAATGGGATCACGTGAGTTGTTCGGTCAATATCAGCTGGATATCGCCCGACCACCATTTTCTACGTATTTATTAAAGATTAAACTGTGTTGGTTAAAGTCGGGGTTTGGATAGGGAAGGGGAGGATTCAAATTTATATTTATGATTATGACTAATGGCATATAACCGAAGAAATTACCTTAAAAATTGTATATAAAATGAAGTCAACTGTAGCAGACGCCATTGAATGTCATTTTATGCCTTTTTACATTTGGTCTTAATACACTTTTTAATGCGTTGTTGGTAATGAGTTCATCATAACTAAAAATGAATACCTATTTTGTTAACGTTGTTATCCGCGATTTCCCCCTTTTGTTTAGTCCTGTTGTCTTCTACCACGTAATCATCTCCGTCTTCTTTGCTCCCTTTTACGACATCGTTCGGTATTTTGATGTCTTCGCCTTGGGATTCGCCATTTTTATTGGCGCAGCAGACGAATTCCACGCCCGAAAAGGCCCCTATATCGCACGGCAAGAGCATAGAATAACTCCTCAGGGGTGATTTAGAGTTGAGGGCCGCGACATCGACAATAGGAACCCTATTCCTTCTGGGCATCTTATTGACGTTGTTAAATTTGATCGCGCAGGCTTGGGCAGCTTTGGCCTTCCAATAATCTTGGCCCTTGCATAACTTGGAACTGTGCACGTGATCAAACACGCACCCCTCGGGCACCAATAATGCTTCGCTCTGGAATTTGCCTTCTATTTGAAACAAAAAAATTTATTTATTTAAGATTTGCCAATAAATTCTATCATATATCGGGTAAAAAAAATACGATACATTTCTTTTCAAACATGGTAATCCACCGTCGACTCTGTTTTACCCTAACTGACACTTTTCGTGAGTTCACTTTTTTAACGGAACAGCCCAATAAACGACTTTGGGCAATCGCGACAAAAATAGATAAAAGTTAACGGAAATTTAAAGAAAAATTATTTTTAAAACAACATACATTCTTTGGTGATTGTAATACCAAAGGAACGAGAATTAGCATGATTCATTTAATATTCGCGAGAATACTGTAAAGTGTTGAAAAGAATTGAATACTTCGTTGTCCGATACCAGATATTTCCTTCAAACCCGGTTTTTAAAAAAATATATCGTCGGCGGAGTATTATAGTGTTCTAAGTGTTCTACATCTATATTTCAAAAATGCATATCTTTTTCGACAAAATCCAATTCTTTAGCAATGTATTCTTCCAAATACAATGAAAATATTAAAATATAATTTAGAAATAATTCTTTAAAAAAATGTTCCCCTGCAAAAAATTTCGAAAAATGGATATAGAACATTATAATACTCAGCCGAACGATTTTGATTTTTTTAATTTTGTAAAAATGTTTAAAAATTCACTGTTTTTTTTTCATGTAATTTAAAATAAAAAACATGAGATATTCCTCTCCTCTTTATAAGATGGTATAAAAATTGTATTCGTGAAACCATATCCTTAAAGTTTATTCTACCCTATAAATTATTCACATTCTACGTATTAAGGGAGTTGGAAAATTTTTTTTAAAAACCGGTATTGAACCCGGCCGGATAATCAAATTTTTGGGATCCCATACCGGAATGGGTAAAAATATCGTATCTAGCATATCCCTAAATCCCATAATGCTCAAATTTTTTTTCGTCATGTGCCAAATTATCACTTACCCAAACATCTGATAGGATAGACGTCAAAAACTTTGTCACACTTCAATTGATCGGGAGCGCACCAATTGTCGACTTTGATGGTCTTCCCCATCGGCATTATGTTGGTTATATTTAGATTAGGATAAATCTATACCCATGATTATTTTTAATTTAAAAGGATAGAATGTAAAAAATTTTTTTGATAAAAAGCTTCGAGCCAAATTTAAAACGGTTTATAGTTAGACTTTTTTAAATGCTCATAATAAACCCCCGCATTCGCCGTTAGCCCGAATTCGCGCCAAAGTATACAAAATCGTACGTTGTATACTTTGCCGCTTAACGCTAAACCAGGGGGGGGGGTATAAGACAGCATTGAGTCTGAGCACGATGATTTTTAAACTTACATTTCTGCAGTACTCGGTAATGGCGGTGTTGTTGTCCGTGCAAATACCATTCGAATCGGATAACCATATTCCAGTCCTGTCCAGGTATTGATTATAATATCCGCATTTCATGACAATCTGAGGCTTGAAATCGGGGAGATAAAGGGAATTGCCTACCATGGCCTTTAAATGATAATAGAAAATAATTAATTACTTATGCATTGATTTAAATAATAATATCTAGTTCCACAAAAAATGGCAAAAGTTTGGCACTATTTTGGCGAAATCACGAGACTTTCGGTATCATCTTATTGGTTAATATTTTCAATTCGTCAATTTTTTGGAAGTTTTTTAAAAAAAAATAAAATATATTGTTTATAAATTCGTTCGGCTCTTATTCAATCAGTAAACCGGATGTTTGGGGTGGGGGGGTAAGGTGGCTCGATACTAATAATTTGCATAAGATATGCATTGATGGATATTCAATTCATTTATAATGCATAAAATTTAAAAGTAACTAAAAATATATAAGATTAGGATTTAAAAGTATCTGTCACAAATCACATTTAGCTAGTGTTGTCAAACCACTAGATTTAGCCAACTATAAATACGAACTCGAGATTTTGGCCAAGAAGTAAGAGTTTTGTTTTTATTGATAAAAGATCGTCATTATTTTTATATTTGAAGAATATGTAATTATTTTGTATATGATAATAGACCATTTTTCTTTTTTTTATGAAAATATTAATTTTTCTGGATTATGTGAATTAATTTTTTTGATAATAATTTATTTGTTTTATTGGATTAATTTTTTTGCAATCAATTTTTTTATATAAATTGAATAAAGATATTTAGCTTTGAAAATAGTGTATGTTTCAAGGGTTTAAGTTTAAATATTTTACTTACAATTAATTAACTAACTTTTTTAACATCTTTGATTATTTTATATTGGTGCCGTGACCAGGATAATTTAAAACGCAGTAAGTGCCCTGCTTCAATAATAGTGGTGAAATAAGAAAAGGAAGGGATGCCAGCTCCATTAGCTGATGCCATTCCTGTGGAGAATATTCCTGAGAGATCACCGTTCAGGGAAGGAATGACCTGATTCGCCTCGCTATGTATTCTCGATATACGTTTTAAACAATTGCTAACTTGAGCGCCTTTGTAATAGTATTTCCTCCCATATTCAAATAAATGTTGTGAGGACCAAGACTCAAGATCTTTTAAAGGTAGTCCCGCTTGAGAAGAAATAGTAGTAAGTAAATTGTCCATAAACACTTTAAGATAGTCTGTTGGAGTCAAGTTTAAAGACAATAATTCTGCTTGTGATGGCATTTGCAAAAGGACCACCTGATTGTCTCCCTGTCCCATTAAATCAATTTTGACACCAATTTTGAAGGCGGCATATTGGATTAGAGTTGCCGTGAGGAGGGTTTAATCTTTTTGTCTCAAACCTTCCAACCAGGCTTCGGGTCCATGGTGACATCTCATACCGTCTTCAGGGTCAAGTGTAAATTTGTTTTGTTGAGGGGGCCACCCATCTATCTTGAAAAATAAGAATGCTTTCTTTTGAAAATATTTGTGAATATGAATAAATATTTTGGAGGTTAAACAGGTTGTCTAATTCCAAAAACGTTGGAGTTGCAAATTCTAATCGAAAATTTGTGCACCAAGAAGAAAAGTCTAGAACTATAAAATGGCTGCTAGTTCTTTGTAGCTTTTCTTCGGACATGGTCATAGTTTGACCTGCTATATACGGGAGAATAAAATCAGCTAAATTCTTTTCTGTACAAACTTAGTAGATTCTCATTTCGGGAGTCATTTTTCCATAAAAGCGACCTGCTAATTTCAATATTATTTTTGACAATTGCAACCAGAATTTTCCATAAAGTAGGGACATCTCGTTCATTTATACGATCAATAATTTTTTTAGCACAGAAATCATCTTTTAGCATAAAATTTACAAGAGCACTTCTATTCGAGTATTTAGGTCCTGTAGGGAAGTAACAGTGCATGCTTCGGTGTGCCTGATGATCATATTCATGTACCCATTCCTCACGAGTGTATTATTGCTTTATCAGCGAGTAAGTCTGTAATATCGACATGATAACCGAAATCTAAAGTTTTGTTAAAAGTTACGAAGGAAAAATGACTTGGACTCCATTGATTTCTACGACCGGCCAACTGCTTGACAAATATGCACTTTTAATTACAGGATGAATTTTCGGATGCATTTCGATATTGGGCCATTTCCTGTTTCTTTTATAATATTCGCGCGAAAAAATTAAAACATATTACATATCTCTGTTCCCATATAATTGAGGTTACCTTTATATATTGAACCCTTGGATATCCAGCTTGAAACTGCCGAGTCCATATCAATAATGGGATGGCCAAAACATTTCCATAATCCGGACATCTCTAAGGCGAGATGAACGTCTTTTGATCGAAGGTAAAATAATGACCTATATGGATGTTGTAATACTATAGGTAGATCCGAAACAATATCTTTATGTCGTTTATTCTTACAAGAGCCTAGACAATATTTTGATGTTTTAACATGGCCTTCCTTAGTTATTGCAAGTATATTATTACAAACAGAGAATAGCAAAGTCTTATAAACTTTAGATTTCGATTATCACGTCGATATTTCAGACTTACTCGCTGATAAAGCAATACCATCTCGTGAGGAATAGGTACATGAATATGACCATCAGGCACACCGAAGCATGTACGGTTACTTCCCAATAGGACCTAAATACTCAAATAGAAGTGCTCTTGTAAATTTTATACTAACAGATGATTTCTGTGCTAAAAAAATTATTGATCGTATAAATGAACCAGATGTTCCTACTTCATGGAAAATTCTGGTTGCAATTGTCAAAAATAATGAATTGAAATTAGCAGGTCGCTTTATGGAAAAATGACTCCCGAAATGAGGATCTACCAAGTTTGTACCGAAAAGAATTTAGATGATTTTATTCTCCCGTATATAGCAGGTCAAACTATGACCATGTCCGAAGAAAAGCTACAAATAACAATATGCCAAATGACGGCACCCTTGATTACAATAGTATTAGCTGCCATTTTATAGTTCTAGACTTTTCTTCTTGGTGCACAAATTTTCGATTAGAATTTGCAACTCCAACGTTTTTGGAATTAGACAACCTGTTTAACCTCCAAAATATTTATTCATATTCACAAATATTTCCAAAAGAAAGCATACTTATTTTTGAAGATAAATGGGTGCCCCCTCAACAAAACAAATTTACACTTGACCCTGAAGACGATAGGAGATGTGACCATGGACCCGAAGGCTGGTTGGAAGGTTTGAGACAAAAAGGTTAAACCCTCCTCACGGCAACTTTAATCCAATATGCCGCCTTCAAAATTGGTGCCAAAATTGATTTAATGGGACAGGGAGACAATAGGTTGTCCTTTTGCAAATGCCATCACAAGCAGAATTATTGTCTTTAAACTTGACTCCAACAGACTATCTTAAAGTGTTTATGGACAATTTACTTACTACTATTTCTTCTCAAGCGGGACTACCTTTAAAAGATCTTGAGTCTTGGTCCTCACAACATTTATTTGAATATGGGAGGAAATACTATTACAAAGGCTCTCAAGTTAGCAATTGTTTAAAATGTATATCGAGAATACATAGCGAGGCGAATCAGGTCATTCCTTCCCTAAACGGAGATCTCTCGGAATATTCTCCAAAGGAATGGCATCAGCTAATGAAGATGACATCCCTTCCTTTTCTTATTTCACCACTATTATTACCTGGTCACGGCACCAATATAAAATATCAAAGATGTTAAAAAAGTTAGTTAATTAATGGTAAGTAAAATATTTAAACTTAAACCCTTGAAACATACACTATTTTCAAAGCTAAATATCTTTTAAAGAAGGTTAATTAATAGTAAGTAAAAGATTTAAACTTAAACCCTTGAAACATACACTATTTTCAAAGCTAAATATCTTTATTCAATTAATATAAAAAAATTGATTGCAAAAAAATTAATCCAATAAAACAAATTAATTATATCAAAAAAATTAATTCACATAATCCAGAAAAATTAATATTTTCATAAAAAAATTAAAAGTGGTCTATTATCATATACAAAATAATTACATATTTAAATATAAAAATAATGACGATCTTTTACCAATAAAAACAAAACTCAAAACGAAAAAATATATCTTGATTTGTTAATTGAAGAAAATATGTTCCCATATTTTATATCAAAAAACACATAAGGGAAATAAAAATGATTTTTTTGATTGACATTTTAATTATTAAATTAAATATCAACAATACCTATTAGAAACTAGGACAATTACGACTATATATTTGTAATCGGATTGGATAACTACTTTTTATCTGTACGCCCCAAACGATATGAAATGAAATAGTAGACAAAGAGTACGATTAAAACCGGACCTCAATGACCCATAGTCCATGATAATTCTATTCACCCATTATCTAGGTTTGACACTTGTCAGTAATTACAAATTTACTATTGAATAATAAATTTCGATGTTATTCAAATTTTGGGATCAATTAAATTATTGATTTAGTGTTAATTGAAATGATAGATTCTAATATTTAAACTAATTATTTACCATCCGTAAAGGGTTTTTTTTTTAAAATACGATTCTTACCTTTAATTCCCATATCTCAGGTAATATAATTGCTAATGATTAAAATTTTTCTTGCTTATTTGACATGGAATGGACGATATCATATATTTTAAATCATTTATTCAATTTATGTATTACAACTTTATAAAAATATATATCTTAATACACAAAAAAAAGGGTTTCGTAAAAAGGCAGACGATCGCTAATTAGGGCAGACGATAAAGGGTTTATTATTATAGATCATAAGGAGAGACATTTTTTTTTATAATAAGATGAACTAGACATAAGAAGACATAAAAAAACATTAAATGAAATTATCATTTATTTTTAAAATAAAAATATAAAAAATAAATTAAGTCTGGGTTTGGGCATGATTAAAATCAATAATTTACGAATAAAAAATCAAGATTTAAATCTGCTTCCATGTCCCTTCATACTCAAGAGTCAAGAATATAATTTTTTTTCTTCAAAAGAGATTAAGCTTCTTCTCTCATATATAATGTATTTTAAATAAAATAGGTTGCGTTTTATATAAT